TCGGGCGTGGCCTTGACGGCCTGCCGGGCGACGCCGATAGCTTCCTCGAGGTCTGCCGTCGCCCTAGTCCTCTCGTACCGACTCTGAAGCTTGTTTCCTAGGTTATTTAAGCAGGTTGCGCGGTCGGGATGGTTATCGGGCGTGGCCTCGACGGCCTGCCGGGCGACGCCGATGGCTTCCTCGAGGTCTGCCGTCGCCCCCGTTCTCTCGTACCGACTTTGAAGCATGCACCCTAAATTGTTCATCCGTGCCGCCCAATTATCGTCGTCTGCGACCAAAGTAACAGATAACTGCGCTATAGAGACTGCGTGGTCAATGTGTTGCCGAATGCCCGTTCGGCTGTACTGTTGGTACGACTCTAAGGCAAGTTGTGATGATGCGGCCACGACCGCCTCCTCTCCGACGCCAAAGTCTCGAACCAGTTACTGGATATCTATCAGAAAGCTCGGTCTCGTTGCTAAATATAAACATCGACTCAATTAGAAGGTTCTGAGCGACGGACGTTTAAGGCACCGTTCCTTACAGCCTGATCGCACACTGCCTTCCGATTGACCTCCTGTGGCGGTGGCTGTGACCAGACGTCTGACAACGAATAATAATGCGCCACGTTGTCGTGCGTCAGCCCATTTTACTGGAGCGGCAGGTTTACACTAATAGCGCGGGCGGCCTCCTAACGTCAAAAACATATACTTGCGCTTGTTGGCACACCTGCCGCCTTGTTCTCCATCCATCGCCGCTGATTATGTCGTTGAGCATTCTTCTCCCGCAGCTACTCTTGCCCCGCAGGAACGTCGAGTTGGGGCGGTTCACCGCCAGCGTCGAGCAACCGCACCAGAATTATCACGACCCAGGATACGGCAAATCCCCTGAGGCCGTTGTGTCTGCCCGTCACTCCTTCGCGGGATTCAGTGAACAGGGCACCACCTCTAGCTTCGCATCGGCGCTCACTTCTCTCATGTCTGCGGGTTTCTCGAGGCGTGCCAAGACGAGGCTTCGAGTCGACGCAGACGCCGTGAGAACGTACACGCTCGACAACTCCGAAGAGTGGTTCAACGAGGCGGCGAGCCTGGTGGCCACAAGGAGATGGATTGAGCGGACTGTTGACAAAGGCTACGACATCTACATGATAACGGCATTTCACACGGTCACGAACTCCCGCATTGCACAAGAACAAACCTGCGACAGTGGCACCGACGGCCAGATCAGCATTCCTATAAGCCTATCGCTCGCATCAGTGGGAGCCCTCGTACCCCTCAGCGATATCCTCGACCCTGCCATCGGCGGCACCAGCAGTGGCTTTACCAATGTGCGGACGTGCTTTGAGGCGCCTGGGGAGCAAGTCTGCGCATTCCAGTACCGTAAGGTCCGGTATCGATGGCTTTCGAGTAACAACATCGACAAGTGGCGGCTCTCAAAGTCGCCTCGCTGGTCGTGCTTGGAGAGAGGGAGGGACGAGGAAGACGGAGAAGACGATATTATCGAGGTGGACACGGGGGAGCTCGAGCAGCTGGATGGGGAATGGGAGAGGAGAGAAGCAGGCGATGAGGTGTTGCTGGCGCGGGTGGATAATGAAAGCGCGATGCAAGGTGGAAGTGTCGCTGCTCCCGCCTGAGGTACGGCGAGGCCGCCGCAATATGCCTCGACGCATCGACGACAATTGGGCTCCGGACGCTATGGACGTCCGCGACGCGTGCCGGGACACCATATCACATCACCCAGTAGCAAAAGCCTTACCGTTGCGAATAAACCTCGCGGCTGCGAGGTTATGTGATTAGATTCCCTTCGTAAGGACGAAATACAGCCATGGATGGTAGCACATTTCATCATCCACAGGATCAACAATCCTGGGCAGATACCTGTCTCGCCATTCCTCCTGCAGGGCATCGCTGAAGCACTCCGGGTCCAGCCTCACTCGCCGAGCCTTGCAATACTCCCAGTACGCGGGATACCACCCCGCCTGGGCCCAATCAATGACTGCCTCCACCTTCGGGTTGGGCCCTGGGGATAGCAGGATGTTTGGCGGGACTAGGTCACTATGAGTGAACACAATGGCCGTCTCAGTACTGATGGCGATGCCGCATGCTGCTTGAAACCTTTGAACAGCGTCGAAACCATGAAATGGCCCAACGAGTCCCGGGCAGGATGCTAGAAAGATGTCGTTCAGTGGTTGTTTGTCGGGACCGCCTGTTTTTCATGTCAGATGTGCAGATATCGGAATCGGTTAGTCTGCTTACCAATATACGGCCGCTGCCCCTCTTGCTCCAAGGCCCTCCATGCCTTCGCCATCAACCTCAGGTCTTCACATATAGCCTGCCTTTCGAGTTCGCTCATGTTTCCCCATCTCTCCTGCAAAGTCTCACCCTCGACGAGCGATATGTAAATGAAACCCTGTCCCTCGTCCTCGGCCCAGGCAAAGACCTCAGGTACAGGGACTCGGCCTTGAAGTCGTTTGCGTACATTCATCTGCGTCTGCGCTTCTGCAATGGTCACGTCTGCTCCATATTTGACGATCAAGCCTAGCGAAGGGATTTTGACTGGTGACGGCCGGTTGAAGTGTGTCGCGCGGATATGCCCCGAAGCTATGTTGATGGCTCTGATGGCAGCTGGCATCGGAAGATCGAACGTTGGACGCTTCTTGCAAAAGCTGGAGTCACCGAAGATGTTCATCTTGGAGAAGACGTTCAGTCGTTCCGAGTATGTCAGATGAGGCGTGGAGGATACGGGCGCGAAGCGCTGTGCCAGGACTTAAAACGCCGCTGCGGAGGCGGAGGCCCCACCAGCGAGAGGGTCGATTCCGGCATAGAACAATGTAACTCGGGGGTGTGTCGGAGCCACCGTATAGTTCTCGTTTTGAATTTGCTATTCGGACGTACCTTTCAGCCAGGAAATGAGTTCATGGATCCTGGTCAACAGTGCGCCCAGTGGGAAGATCCGGAACAGGCATCAGCTGGGATGGTCCATATCACAGCCCGTTGGCACAGCCTGGTGCTGCTCGAGCGGATGCCCGACCGTGACCGGGTCGGCCAGCGTGCGTCCCCGTTGACGGCTGCACAGACTGTGCCTGACACGTCCCAGCTGGCGGGGAAAGCTCCATCTTGCAGAATCACAGGATCCTGCAGTGCCCTACGTTGCCGAGAGCCACCTGCTACTTGAATCCTTGGACCGGCGCCGTCTGCCTCCTGGCTGAGGTTGTAATGGGGCGCCTGAAAAATTACTGACCTGCTATCCGAAAGCCAGGCATCAGGGTACCGACGGGCCTGCCTCCGTGCTCCGTTCCGCTTCCTGGCTCTTCCTCGTGACGTTCTCCTCTTGCGCCTGCGCAAAGGTCGGTGGGGCGTCTGTCTCAGCCGGGGGACGAATCCACGACTCAGACCTTGGCTGGAACGGCGGCGGCGGCGCTTCTTCCTCCTGCTGCACTGCACTACTCCCAGGATGTGCTGAATAGGCCGCTACTGGCGCTTGTCGCGCCTCTGATGCTGGCAGGATGACCACACTTTCGAAAGCGTTCATTTTCATCTCCTCCCCCGAGGCTGTTGCGACGATCTCAAACTTGAAATAATGGGTGTGCATCAGGTTATATGTCGTAAATCGAGGGTACAGCTTGCGCAGCGCCTGCCGTGGAGCTTGGCTGTTGAGGCGGAAGTCGGCTTTCGCGCCGACGTCGATGGGCGGGTACTCGCCCGTGCACGGGATGTACAGAATGCTCGACGGCTGCCCAGGAGAAGGCGGCCAGATGTTCAAGGTGATTTCCGTGTCGTCGCTCGCCTCGCGCGGGCTGAAGGCTGCGGCGCACCGGACTGTGGTCTTGGTCATCAATGTCATGCGAAGCGACTGCAGGACGATCTTGATGGGGATGTCATGCATGTTGTCGCTAGAAAGCTTCTTGTCAGGCACAAAACGCAGCCGGAGGGGCACCGTGCTGGGATTGCCCAGCTGCATGATGCGCGGCATGTACAGCTCCAACTTGCCAGCGGCGCGCGGCACCTTGGACGAGCCGAAAAGCTGCTGGCACTTCTGCTGAAACGTCAGCTCGGCAGCCTCCATGTTCGGGAGGAGCCTGAAGGAAGATATGACGCGTAGTTCGCGATACCGGCGGTTGCCGAAGTCGGTGATGGGCGGGTCGTTGTTTGCGGAGGCGATGATGATAGGGAGTGTGGCAGTCTCGCTGCGCTGCTTGCCGTGTTGTATGAACAATATAGTCGCCTCGAGCCAGTACTCGACAAATCCTTCCCTGTCGGAGCTCCAGCCCGAGTGGTCCATATCGAAGGTGCCTGGGAGACGGTGTATAGCCACGGAGGCGGCGTCTAGGGGTAGGAAGCTTAGGTTGGCTGGCACGGAGTTGACGAGTTTCCTCTGACTGCAGTGTGTCGGAATGTCGATGACGAAGGACCATGTCTGATTGTCTGAAGAGTCCGCCACGTGGAGGGGCCCATTGAAGATAGTCTGACGGTGCGCGTCCTCGTCGATAAGGGTGAAGCGGCCTCGGTAGTGGGTTGTAGTGGTGCCATGGCTTGCGGCGTTGTGACGCCGGACGGTGATTTTGGACTTGGCCCTGCCGCAGAGCGTGATCTGGACGCTGGCTTCGGTGCTCACCAGGGCTGCCCTGCGACATACACGGCCGATGATAGTGTTGCCGGGGGCGAAGAGGGGGACCGTCGGGTACGTGACCCCTTCGGTCACGATCTGCAGGGCCGGGTTGCCCTTGTAGGTGGTGCGACCCATTGCGGACTTGCGAGAGAAGAACTAACGGCGATAAGAATGGTAACGTGTTGGTTGGCGTACAAGATAAGGTTGATGCGCTCAATTGAGCTTCTCGCGAACTGCTCTTGAGGCACCTGCCAAGGCTCGCGGACCAGCCACCTCATCAGCACTTCCCCATATCCAGATTCCAGGGGGGTGGATAGGGGAAAGGAACCCAGGGTAATCTCGGGGGTGGCGCAGCTTAGGCACTGATTGCTGAACAAGGACGGGCATCGTAAGAGGACCTCTCGCCTGCCCCTTCTTGACCTGCCCTGTCACAGCAGGCAGGGTATGCCTACACATACCTTCCTTTCTGTTCAAGGAGACACATTTAGTCCTTCTGCGGGTAGATAAAAAAGCACCGAGACGCGACCAGACGTGGCTTTTGGCGCAGTGGTGCAGTAACGATACTGTAAGGGTGCTTATCTTGCCGCGCTTACGTGCCTTGCCGCCAAGCCAACCCTGTGGCTGCCCATCCGTTTGGCGTTCGTAATCTGACCCTCCAAGAAAAGAGGACAGCGTCACGACTTCCCCCACAGCAACCCCGGCTTCAAGACTGCATCGCAAAGTCCACGATATACCCATCCGCCGGCGACACCGGCTCAGTATGCACGACATCGGCGACCCATTAGGCGATGTTCCTCGTCACCATCATTTCCATCAACGTGACCTGGTGGCTTCTCGAGATACCGCTCATCTAGAAACACGGGTTCAAGAGATGTCTTGACTCTGTTACGTGGCAATGCTTCCGAATTTACCTGCCCTGCTGCGCCGTCATTTACGCCCTTATTACCGCAAGATCGTCGCAGGAGATGCCGTACATCTACTTTCGATGACGACCATATCTTCATCGAGGCTGCCAACATCGAAGTCACCTCACTGCCGGTCGAAACCGAGCCCGAAGCTGCCCGTCCAGAGGCTCCGACCCGTGCCCTGAGTATGTTTCAGCTCATCAAATCTCTCGGCGTGGACGGTGCGACTATCTTAGCAACCGCCCTGATCGTCAACACCGCCGTCAACGCGCCCGTAGGCACCTCGGTTTCGGGTGTCAACTAGTTGACCTGGGCATATCCAACCCTTCCCGTCGCGTTGTTGGGACTCTAGCTGCTTCTCTGCGGCACTTGACTACGTCGGAGCCGAAGTTGGACGTTTTTGCTTAGGATGCTTCTCGTCGTCGGAGTCGGCGCAGCCATCATCGCGCCAGTCGCAGTCCTGTCACCTGCTGGACAACAGAATCGGATGTGGATTAGCGCTATCGTAGGGTATTCCCTCATGGGTCTGCCGATTCTTGCGTTCCCGCACGGCGTCGTCGTGGTCGTCGGCATTGGCGTGGGCTTCGTTTTTCGCGTTGGAGGCATCGGCCTTGACGCGCTCTCTCCTTCGGCGCATTTTCTTTTCTGCCACGGCACCCACCATTTAGGGCTGTATATCTCAGTATAGGAGGCATTGGCGCGATTCTCGCCATTGTTGGGTGGTTCAAGTTCTTTTGGAAAACGGATACGGCAAAACCCCTCAGAAACAAGGTCTTGATTATCTTGAGGGGGCACGCCCCTGTAGCGAAGAGACATGTTCCGACTCCCCGGGCCGGAAGAGCACGATGGTAGCAAGCCGGTGCGGGGAGTGGTGACATCCTAGGGCTCGTTTCCATAGAAGTGGCATCCGTAATTTGCGGGCGATCTTCGTGAGGTGTACATAATGGCCAAGGACAACGATTCCTCTATTCCATCCACCGCGTAGAAGCCGAATCCAACCGAGGCATCCTGCCAGCTCATGGTACTGACCCGTTATTCGAGGATTAACAAGAGTTATGGCAAAAAGTGTTCCTCAGCTTCAGAAACCCTCCGAGACTAGCGACCTCAGGTCTGATATAGTTCTCACGCATAGCCAGCCGCTCTTGACGGCTGGTCCGTCCGCGACTGCATCGATTTGGCTTTTGCGGCCCCAGGTGGCCGTTCAGCTTCATCGCTGACGCGCTTGTAAAGGCAATCAAGAGCACCTCGGTCACTGAGGGCGGTCTTGGACGGGAGGACAGCTCAAGTGGCCCAGAGCGCAATAGATGTGTCGGGGAGTCTTTGGTGCCGGGCCGGTCCGAGCAGGATGCCTAGCGTCTATAGTCACCGGATCTAGCTTTTAGCGAGACTACACCTTAGCCGTCGGCATCGCACGGCTCCGCACCGGCGGTGCTTCATTTTTTCTTTTCTTTTTCACGGCCAACTTGGATGCTTCGGTGTGGTCCTAGCATAGTCGCAACGAGTGACGGAGGGTTGGGGCTCGACCCCGGAGGAGAGCCTGCAAACGGCCAATACGTCCAAGGCAGCAAGCAGGCGTGCAAAGTACCAAGTCCTAACTCGGGGAGGCAGTGAAGACATGGGGAGCGGGCAGGGTTGCCGGCACCACCACCCAATCACCGCAGGCAGAGTTCTGAGGTCCGTGTGCGCGGGGTTCGAGATGTTTTGCTTGACGATTCGACAGCGCAGGCCAATGGCCACCACAAATTTCCTCACCGCCTCATTGCATCGGATCATTAACGCATCACGAAGATGGCCGAAACCACGCCGCTACAGCAGGACCCAGTTAAGGTCGAGGCCGATGATGAGACCGGATCGTCCCTGGGCGACGATGCTTCTACCACAAGCACCTCTCTTAACTCCAGCGCGCTGGAGTACGAGTATCGCCATAGTCGTCGGTACCATGGATATCGCTCCGGGACCTACAGCTTCCCCAACAACGCCCAAGAGCAGGACCGGCTCGACATAGTCCACCATGGCTTCTTCCGCCTCTTCAACGACAAACTGCTGCTGGCTCCTATCGATCTGGCCGGAAAGCGAGTCCTCGATATCGGAACGGGTACGGGTCTATAGGCCATCCAGCTGGGAGATCAGTTCCCCGAGGCCGAGTTAATCACGGGCAACGACCTCAGCCCTATCCAGCCTTCTTGGACCCCGCCCAACGTCAAATTCATCGTGGACGACGTGGAGCAGGACTGGGTAGAGCCGCATTCCTACGACTACATCCACTACAGGTACATAGCCGGCTCGATTATAAACTGGCCTCGCCTCTTCAAGCAGATATACGACAACCTCTCGCCCGGGGGTTGGGTGGAGTTCCAGGAGTCCGACAACATACTAGTCTCCGAGGACGGCACCCTGAAGCCCGACAACGCTGTCGTCAAGATGATGAATGGCCTCATGGACGCGTGCGATAAGATCGGGCGCAATATAAGCCCCGCCCCCTCCTTCAAGAAGTGGGCCGAGGACGCCGGCTTCGACAACGTCACGCAGCAGACCTTCAAGCTCCCCGTTGGCACCTGGGCGAAGGACCAGAGGCTCAAAGAGTGCGGGCTCTACGCGCGCCAGAACTTCCTTGAGGGCGTCCAGGGGTTCACGGCGCAGCTGTTCAAGGACGTCCTGGGATAGAGCCTGGAGGAGGTGGAGCTCCTCAACGCGGGCGTGAGGGCTGCCGTGAGGGATAACAAGGTGCATGCCCTATTCAATGTAGTCGTCGTCACGGCCCAGAAGCCGGAGTAGCGGGCGTGAGCACTTTCTGCGGCAAGACGAGCCTGTACCGCGTGGACGGCGATCCTCGAGCCAAGTAAGCCGAAGCACGAATCGGGATAACCGGACAGTGGTCAAGGGTCCAGGGGAAATTTCTGCTTTCCACCCTCGCAGCGTCTGGCGAATAAGATATGGAGGGCGCCAGCGCTCACGACTGGTTGGTTGCGAAGCCGTCATGTGTTTTAGAATGCTGTTTGGCAATGCATCGAGAAGCGCCGAAACACCCAGGAGGTGATAGGGTCGAGTAGGATCGTACTTGGTTAGTCAGCTGGCGCATTCTCCGGACTTGCTCCGCTTCATTCGTCCCGACATATTTCCCACACCTCAATCGTGACGGCTAGTTCTCCGCCCTATGCACTCACACGCGTCAAAATGCATCAAGCTCAACCCCTAAGAGTGTTTGTGACCGTAAAAGCAACGAGCGATTATTATCGCAAAGCCTGGTCGGCCCCGCATGACGTCGTCGAGGCCGCACTGAGCGCCTTGTCTTCTGCTAGTGCAGACGTTCATCCCGAGCAGGCCCCATCAGCACAGCTGGTTGCGATCCTTAATTTCGACTCGAAAGCACGATTGGTCTTCGACATGTTTTATGCCAGCTACGACTCAAAGACGGCATATCTTCCAGGCCATGACGACGACTTGCGAGTCTGGGTTGTCACGGTGGGCAAGGGAACCGAAACAGACATGATCAAAGTGTCCTTGGCAACAAAGGGGACCGGGATCATGATTAATCGAGAAGTTCGAAGAATCCATGGCTCGAACACCCTGGAAGCGCGACCTCCTTTCAGAGAGGATTATACCAACGACAAGGCCCCGGTCAGCATCAACCCGCGATGTCCGGGGGGCATCACAGATTAGAGCCTGGGAAGCACAAGTACTGTGGAAGGAAGATTGCGATTGGTATTGAATCTCAGTTTTGGGGTCAACGCGTTCTACTACGTGGAGTCGGGCGTTGGGTACAGGCAGTCTGTACATTTCTCTTATCGGGTTTCAAGCGTAGATTCTGCATCGGAGGTGGCATAACCTCCCACAGCATACTGCGTGATATCCCAGCGATATCCGACCCTTATACAACGCCCAGGGCAATCGTATCGGATATGGAGACACATAGCGATGTATAGAATAGAGGAGGGGTGTTAGTCACATCATTTTCACTCCCTCCCGCTCCACATACACGCCGGAGTGATCTCTGAAGGTCCAAGACGTATATATTAGGTGGCGTATGCTTCTTAGGGGACAAGATGATCCGCCGGGTGAAAGGTGTAGTAGGTCTGGAAACCTGCGTGGTCAGAAGCCTAAAGAGATGGGACGTGGTTGACGATCGTGCTGTTTATTGCCTGGACAGATCGGAGGCTTCGAAGACGGGCTACGATGGATGGTTGTTGCCTGATCGGCCATTCTTGGCATCACTAACGGCCGATTCCAGCCTGATTGCTGTTCACAGAGGTACTAATGTTGATGCAGTAGAACGTTGAGGGGAGCTTGTAGCTTTGTGATGATTTTATGTTGCCATGGATTTTGGCCAGTCGATGCCAGTGCTTCCGTGACAGTCGGAGCACCTTGGCGGCGCCCGACGGGAATGCCGTGGACGTCCGCTGCAAAAACGCCGGCCGGTCGAGGATCCAACCGCAAGTGCCGGAGAGGCGGCGTTGCAAGGAGTCTTCGCATCGCTCGTCGGGGGTTGCCGGAGCCACGTGTGCAATTCTCGTTGTGCGTTTGCTATAATCAGGCAGGGACAAATGGCAGCACTCCTACATGCCTTCCGGCCGAGCAAGGTCACCGAGGCGTCCATGATCACCCAAGTGACATCCTCGAATTCCATGCTCATACCTATCCCGGCCCGAGCGCATCGACAGGCCTGTCAGCGGGCCTTAACGCCAATGTACCTGGCACAACGACCAGCGGTACCAGCTTGTGCAACTCGTCCACCAGGCCATTCAACAGATAGACCTGTATCGTGCGTTTCGATTTCCCCCACGAGGCCCACACCAATTTCCGCCGTGTCGACAGCCCAGCGAACGCAGCGACTTGGGCGAGCCTGCGCGCGTGTCGTCCACTGTGCCACGAGGTGTCCAAGTCTTGAGCGCGCCCGCCAGATCGCAGATATCCTTGGCGAGGTGAAAGATTCCGGCGACCAGACTGCAGAACTCCTTACCGTCGAGGGTCTGATGGTGGCCCGCGGATAGTGTCCCGCCGCAGAGGGCAACGGCGCGGTCCCATTTCTCGAGCGATCTTTGCAGCGCTGAGTAGGATGTCAAGGGCTGCAGAGTCGGGTCTCCAGGGTCTGCTGGCAACTGCCGCTCGGACCGGGGACCACCCGCCAGCCACCCCAGCCCAACCCCTCGGTTCAACTTGACATCGCATCAGCCACGCGTCCGCAGCCTGATGCGCTGTGGCCATTTTATTCACCTACATCATGGAGCTCCTTCCCGATACGCCGTCGTCGGGACGCAGACCCCCGGCCTGAGATTCTCCTGCCGCGTCGTCGTCGCAATCAGCAAACATCATGGGTCCTCAATGGCGCCGGATGTTCAGGCGGAGCCCCCGACCGACATCCCCTCATCGCGCCCCATCTCCAGCAAACCCGCCGCAGCCCGCTGCCACTCCCCAGCCCTCGTCAGGCCTCCAGGCGCGGCTCTGGAACCACGCGTACGATAAGCTCAAGGCAGGCGAACCCAAGATCGTCGACGCCTACGAGAAGTTCATGTCGACCGAACTCCCGACCGACGAGACCGAGCCGGCGCAGAGATAGCGCCAGATGGAGCGCCTCGTCCGCGTCGGATTGCAGAAGACCGCCAGAGAAGCGGCCGTCAAGCAGCAGATGGGCGATATCATCCAGATAGTCGGCGTCGTGAGGGGACTCGTCGACAAGGCGGTCCAGGCCTCCCCGGAAGCCGCCATCGCCTGGGTCGGCGTCAGCTTCGCCCTCGAGGTCAGTCTCCCACCCGCCCCGCGTCGTATACTCATATCGCCAGGTGCTCTCGAACCCCCTGACCGAGCCGGGCATTAACCGAAAAGGCCTCTGCTACGTCGTCTCGAGGATGGACTGGTACTGGAACCTGGTGGACCTCCTCCTCGACGAGCGTGCCGGCTCCGCCTTCAGTGGATTGCGACAGCAGCTCGAGACGCGCATCGTCCAGCTATACCAGAAGCTCCTCCTGTACCAGATGAGGAGCGTCTGCCTCTACCACCGGAAGCGTGTGGCCGTCTTTTTCAGAGACTTCGCCATACTGGACGACTGGAGCGGTCAAATCGACGACGTCAAACAAGCCGAGGCCGCCGTTTGGAAGGATTCAGAGCAGTACAACTCGCAGCAGGTCCGGTCTCACCTCGAAGGCATTGCCGGCGCCGCAGAGCGCCAATTCTCCGAGCTCCAAGGCATCACCTCCGCCATCCAGGACCAGACCAGGCGACAAGAGCAACTCCATCAAGAAAAGAAGGACAAACAATGCCTGGACGATCTATACGACACCGACCCTGTCCACGACAAAACACGCATCCAGAACACCAAGGGCGGCCTTCTCCGAGACTCGTACGCCTGGGTCCTGGACAATCCTGATTTCAAGAAGTGGCGGACGGACACCCGCGGGCTGTTCTGGATCAGGGGCGACCCCGGCAAGGGCAAGACGATACTCCTCTGCGGCATTATCGACGAGCTGGAGAAGGACCCTGCCCACCCGCTGGCCTACTTCTTCTGCCAGGCAACGGAGCAGAAGCTGAACACCGCCACGGCCGTGCTGCGTGGCCTGATCTACAGTCTCGTCCACCAGCACCCATCCCTCATCTCGCACGTGCGTAAGGAGTACGACGGCGGCGGAAAGCAGCGTTTTGAGGGGCCGAACGCCTGGGAAGTCATGTCCAAGATTCTCGAGGCCATGCTAACAGACCCGATCGTTAACGCCGCGGTTCTTATAGTCGACGCCCTTGACGAGTGCGGTGCTGGTCGGCCAAAGCTTCTTGACTTAATCATCCGCGTGTCCGCCTCCTCTCGCGCCAAGTGGATCGTGTCGAGCCGCAACTGGCCGGATATCGAGGAGACGCTGGGCAGCACCACCCAAAAAGTCACACTCCACCTAGAGCTCAACGAGGACTCCGTCGCCGCAGCAGTCGAGGCCTACATCCGACACAAAGTCGATAAGCTGGCACGACTTAAGAGCTACGACGAAGGAATCGAGCAACCGTCCAAAAGCACTTCATCGATAAGGCAGACAGCACCTTTCTTTGGGTTGCCCTGGTATATGAAGAGCTGGCGCGCGACAGCGCTCGACCTTGGCACGCGCTCAAAGCCCTCGAGACCATTCCGCCCGGCCTCGACGCCCTGTACGAACGGATGATGAGACACATAGGAGATTCCGAGGATGCGGAGCTGTGCATGCATATTCTCGCGGTGGCTTGCGTCGTGTACCGCCCTGTGTCTTCGAAGGAGTTGGCAGCCATCGTCAAGCCGCCCACGTATTTCTACGACAATCCTGCAGCCTTGTACGTTCTCGTCGGCTCCTGCGGCTCCTTCCTCACTCTCCGGGAAGACATTGTGTACTTAGTGCATCAATCGGCAAAGGACTTCTTGCTCAGCAAAGCGTCTGGCCAAATCCTACCACATGGGATTACCCACCAGCACCGCACCATCTTCTTAAGATCTGTTAAGGTCATATCGCGCACGCTCCACCGGGATATCTATAATCTGACCGCCCCAGGATTCTCGATCGACGACCTCCCTAAGCCGCATCCTGATCCCTTAGCCCCTGTGCGGTACTCTTGTGTGCATTGGGTTGATTATCTCCAGGACGGCGATCTCGCGGAGGAACGTACACTAGAGCATCTCCAGGACGGCGGCCTTATTCATACGTTCCTCCAGCATAAATTCCTTTACTGGCTAGAGGCTATGAGTCTCCAGCGTAATATATCACTTACGGTACTCGCTATGCGAAAGCTTCAGGCGCTCATCGTGAGTGCCGTCGTATCTTATCCGAGAGGTCATCTAACACTTATATCAGGCACGTACAGGAGCACAACAGTTAGAAGGCCTGGTTCACGACGCTCATCGATTTATCTTATCCTATAAAGGAGCGATAGAGGCTGCGCCACTTCAACTGTACGCCTCCGCTCTTTTCTTCAGTCCTACTCAGAGCGTAGTACGAAACCTTTTCAAGCACGATATGCCGAGGTGGATTTCGTCGCCGTCGCTAACAGCGCCGGATTAGAACGCGTGCGTACAGACGCTCGAGGGCCACGGCGACTCGGTCTAGTCGGTAGCCTTCGCGGCGGACGGCACGCGGCTGGCGTCGGGGTCTAGCGATAAGACCGTTAAGATCTGGGACGTAGCGACGGGCGCGTGCGTGCAGACGCTCGAGGGCCACGGTGACTGGATTAACTCGGTAGCCTTCACGGCGGACGGCACGCGGCTAGCGTCGGGGTCCCGCGATAATACCGTTAAGATCTGGGACGCGGCGACGGGCGCGTGCGTGTAGACGCTCGAGGGCCACGGTAACTAGGTTAACTCGGTGGCCTTCACGGCGGACGGCACGCGGCTGGCGTCGGGGTCCCGCGATAATACCGTTAAGATCTGGGACGCGGCGACGGGCGCGTGCGTGCAGTCGCTCGACACCGCCCAACCGGTATATCAACTTTCGTTCGATTCACACACGAACTCCAGGCTCGTGACCGAAATCGGTACTCTAGCACTGGATCCTTTGGGTGCGGAGACTCTGCAGGCCTCCGCGGTACTGTCTAACTGCTATGGTTGTGGAATAAGTCGTGATGGAGTCTGGCTTGTAAAGGATACTCGGGGGCTACTCTGGTTGCCCACCGAGTATAGGCCTTCAAGAACGGCTGTTGCCGGGTCACGTATGGCGCTTGGTACTCCCTCGGGGCGCGTCATCATTTTACAGGTTTCGACGGAGGTGCTTAGCCTGTAGTGTTACCTGGAAGAATGCCGCGCTATCACTGTTCGCTCCTATACACTCTTATTCCTACTTTCTTTATCATAGCGTGGTACTAGAAGGGTCTGGGAGACTGGTTTCATAAATATGTCACCAATGGAGGTTATGACGTCCGTCGTGTTTCGTCACGCCTTCTAGATGCTTCCGAGTCCCCCTGTAGTAAGCGGCTGACTGCAAGAGAACCGGGCCGTGAGAGATGCCCATAGCAGAGTGACTGCGACACGCTGAGCAGTGACGAAACCAGTGGCACACTCGAAATCTCTTGGGCTGGCTCCAGTTATCCCTTGCTGGGAACTTTCGCCTGTTCTGATTGGGATGAAATTGTGCTCGAGTGCCTGTCATGACGAAAGCATACTTGGGTGATGAGAATACCTTTATGAGCTTGGAAAGAACCAAGATGGTGGATAATGGAAGGGCGTCACCCAGTGATAAAGTCTGGTGCGAAAGGCGGCAGCAATCGATTGGCCAGCGCGAACCGTAGATGGATTACCTGGCGGACGTAAGGTGGGGCTCGGTTGCAATAGTCAAGGAAGCAGAAAGGCTGGCTTAATACTCCCGCCTCATCGCCCACAGATCTAGCCGGACACAACCAGCTCCAGCCCCACAGGCGCCGAGACTCCGTCGTTGAATTCATGAAGTACTGCATTGAAGAAATCGCGGTCGGGCTGCGTGCTTCCTACCGGGTCCCGCTACCCGCGATCCAATGGGGACCCGCCCAAAGCGCCGCGCAGCCGGTGAGCCGTATGGAGCCACGTCGTTGACCCACGCCCCGGCCATCGGCCGATGCACAGCCTACGCGTACAGGCCGTCTGCAGGGATTCAAATGGAAAAGGACGTCGCGAGGCTGCTTGCTTGATGGCTGAGTGTGATAAGTATTGTCCCCTCCCCCACGGCAGCCCCCGCCTTTCGCAGTCATCAATCAGGCACCATGGCGGCCGAACTGGTCCTCGGCAGCGTAGGCCTCGTCGGCCTCGCCGGCCTCTTCAGCTCTTGCTTGGAGGCCATCGACAGGGTTAAGGACTACAAGTCTTTCTCGTCAGATTCAAGTTCGCTAAACGTCCAGCTCGACGCCCACCGGGTCCGTCTCGAGCGCTGGGGCCGCGACGTTGGGCTTGACAATGGACGCCTCTCGGCCGACCACGACCGGCGCCTCGACGACAACCAAACAAGATCGGTAGTGGAAGAGCTCCTCGCAATCATCAACGGCACCCTCGGGTCGGATGGGCGTCCGGGCCAGACGGGGAGTGGACACACTCACCTAGATGCCACTCTGGGCAATACCAAACAACCCCGCACCCTCGAGGGTGTCGGGTCAAGGAGACGCAAGCTCACGTGGGCCCTGGGGGGCAAGGGCGACCGCACAGTACAGGTCACGCAGCTGGGAAAACTTGTGCAGCTCTTGCACGACCTGGTACCTCCTGACCGGGCGGCGAGCACCCGGCCGACGACTGACGTCGGAAGCCTCGAAGGCTTGCGAGGTGCCGGGCCGCTCGGCATTACACCGAGACTAGGGACGCGATCGGAGCATGGATGGCTGACCGAGTTTCACCAGACCTTGGCCGAGTTCCGCCAGACCCTGGCCGAGGCGCAAGGTGAGATGGCCCGCCCGTGACGCGATCCGAGCTGACGAGAGCCAGCCGAGACGCGACGTGAGGTCCACGCTTGGCTGCTAGGCAAGCAGCCTCCCAATAAGCGCTACGAGGACTCGCGCGTCAAGAGATTGCCCGGCACCTGCGACTGGATCTTCACGCGGCCGGCGTTTGCCCGGTGGAGCGCCGCGGATCCATCCCCGGGCTCGGCTCGGCTGCTGTGGATCCACGGACCGCCCGGCTTTGGCAAGACTGTTCTGTGCACACGCACCGTCGAGCACCTCTCGGCCGTCCCTGGCAACACCGTCGCCCATTTCTTCTTCTCGTCCGATCACGAGAGTCGCCATGACCCCTACGCGGCCGCGCGATCCTGGGTCTCCCAGCTGGCGTCGCAGCCGGAGGCGTACGCACTGGTCCGCCAGAGATGGGAGACGACGAAGGACCATGTCGCCACCCGCGCGACCGTCATCCAGCTCCTCCACGATGTTCTGCAGGCCACGCCGGGCTGCTATCTCGTCGTCGATAGTCTCGACGAATGCACGGCACCGGATGACGGCACCTCCTCGGTCGCGAGGTTCCTCGAGGACGTCCTGAACACCATCACGTCGGCCACCCGACTCCTCATCGTCAGCCGCGAGGAGACCGACATACGACAGCCGCTGCGGGCCGGCGGCCCTGCCCGCCTCGCCGAATACCAGATATCGCCCCAAGACGTCAGCGCCGACGCCGCCGCCTACGCGCGGGACATCGCCGACAGGAAGCTGCCGGGCAAGGATGAAAATGTCAGGGCCAGTCTCTCGAGCGCTATGGCCGACCGATGCAAGGGCCAGTTTCTCTGGCTGAAAATGCAAGAGCCGACCCTGAAGACGTGGAAGAACCTCGGGCAGCTCCAGAGAACCCTCGACGGCACCCCGACCGGGCTCGACCGCATCTACGAACGAAACTGGGAGAAGATCACGAGGAGCGACCAGAGAGAACGCGCGGTCGCTTTGCTGCGATGGTCGGCCTTTGCGTTGCGGCCATTGACGATCGACGAAATGACGGAGGCTGTGCTGATCGACGAAGACCTGGAAGAGCTCCCCGTTAACGAGCTCCCCGACGCCGTTGACGACGACTACATCCACGGCGAGATCCTCGAAGTCTGCGGTCCGCTCCTCGAAGTCCGCCGCTCGCCCCCGGACTCGGCTGCGGGGAAACAGACACTGCACCTGGCACACTTTACCATCAGGCAATTTCTCATCGGCCGTCTTCCCGTCGGGGGGATCCCGGCAAACGAGACCCTGAGGGTATCCAACGAGCAGATGCAAAACACCCTGCTCGCAAGGTCGTGCCTCTGGTACGTTCAGTCTCGTCAGACCTGGCGGGATGGCGCCAATGCCGACGGATCACCGTTCCGGGCGGCTCTCCGCGACTACTCAGCTGCATCGTGGCACGCACATGTGAAAGCTGGACTATCCCTGGACAGCGATCCGTGCACTCTCGAACGCGTCCAAACATTCATGAACGAAGCTCACCCCTGCTGGAAGCCTTGGAGGACATGGTTTGATGAGCATGATGACGAAGAAAATAAGTCAGCAAAAGATGAGAAATTCAGACCAGGGCCCCCATATTATGCCCTCAAACTGGATCTGGGTCCCGTGGCCGTCAGTCACATCCGGAAATTCGGCCCTGGATTGCTTGCCGCCTGCGGCAGGTCTGTACTTAATCTGTGTTGTCTCCAGGGCAATATCGAAGTCGCAGAGGCAATCCTTGATGCCGGCGTCGATATCGACACACGAGGCTTTATGGGCAGGACACCACTATACGCTGCATCACTAAATGGATGGGCAGAATTGGCCCGGCTCCTGCTGCACCGCGGGGCTCAAATTGACGTAACGAATCAAGAGGGTGCAGCGCCGGTGCTTGCTGCCGCCCAAAACGGCCACTTCGAGATAGTCGAGTTGTTGGTGGATGAAGGCGCCGATATAACGATGGCCGATAGCAGTGGATAGACGCCGGTGCCTGTTACCGCTGCTAACGGCCACCTACACGTGGTTAAGTTCCTGGTGGATAAGGGCGCCGATATCACGGTGGCTAACAACGATAGTATAACGCCTGTCGTCTCTGCTACCGTTAACGGCCACCTCGAGGTGGTTAAGTTGCTGGTAGACAAGGGCGCCGATATCACGGTGGCTAATAAGGATGGATAGACGCTAGTGGTTTCTGCCGCTCTTAACGGCCACCTCGAAGTGGTTAAGTTCCTGGCGGATAGGGGCGCCGATATTATAGTGGCTAACAACGATAGAAAGAAGCCTGTATTTTCTGCCGCTTTTAATAGCCACCTCGAGGTGGTCAAGTTCCTAGCGGACAAGGGCGCTAACATCATGGTGGCCGACAACTATGGATGGACGCCACTATTTATTGCCGCTCTTAAAGGCCACCCCGAAGTGGTCAAGTTGCTAGCGGCCGAGGGCGCCGACATTATGGCGGCCGACAAGGATGGATGGACGCCACTGTTTGCTGCCGCTATCAACGGCCACCTCGAAGTGGTTAAGTTTCTGGCGGACAAGGGCGCCGACATCACGGTGGCTAGTAATAATGGACGGACGCCACTGTTTGCTGCCTTATAAAGCGGCCACTTCGAGGTAGTCGAGTTGTTAGTGGATAAAGACGCCGATATAACGATGGCCGATAGCAATGGATAGACGCCACTGTTTGCCGCCGCTGCCAAAGGGCACCTCAAGGTAGTCAAATTCTTAGCAGACAAGGGCGCCGACATCACGGTGGCCGATAAGGATGGATAGACGCCAGTGTTTGCTACCGCTCTTAACGGCCACCTCGAAATAGTCTAGTTCATGGCCGATAAGGGCGCCGATATCACGGTGGCCGATAAGGGTAGATAGACGCCACTGTTTAGTGCTGCCAACGACGGTTAATCGAGGTGGTCAAGTTCCTGGCGGACAAGGGCGCCGATATCACGGTAGCTAGAAACGATGGATAGACTCCGGTACTCGCTGCTGCCCTCTAGGGCCACCTCGAATTGGTTAAGTTCCTGGTGGAGAAGGGCGCCGACGTCACTACTACTGGCAACGTTAGCGTGACGCCAGTTAACTCTGCCGCCTTCTAGGGCCACCTCAACGTGGTTAATTTCCTAGCGGACAGGGGCGCCGGCATCATAGTGGCCAATAACGATAGAACGACGCCCGTGATTTCTGCTACTCTCAACGGCCACCTCGCGGTGGTCAAGTTCCTGGTGGACAAGGGCGCCGATATCACGGTGACCGACAGCAATGGATGGACGCCGATGCTTGCTGCTGCTGCTAACGGTCACCTTAAGATTATTCGGGAACTCGAAACTGTACCCGGCAACGATTCAACCGGGACTGATCATCTTGGTCGTTCGGCGCTCTTTTTATCGGCCAGGTACGGATATGCTGACATGGTCGGACATCTTCTTTCCGACGACCGCGTTGACCCATCCAGCGTAGACTGGTGCGGCTCCACGCCCCTGTTCGCCGCCGTCGCCAACGGCCACTTTCGCGTTGTCGAACTTCTCGTCGCGCATCAGGCGCCTTCGCTCAATCGTACCTACTTTGGAAAGAGCCTTCTATAGTGGGCTCGACGCGGTGGCAATCTGGACGTCACTCAACTTCTGCTGCGACACGTGGACCAAATCGCTGATTGCGTTGGTAGCGACATACCATACGGTCATGTTTCCTTTAACGCAGCGCAGGCTTGGTGTGACGTATATACTCTCTGCATCACAAATGGATATAAATATGGCTGCAGCGAATATGTTTCATTTGCATTGTGCGGCGACTGTTTCCAAAGAGGATTCCGATACCAGAAACCGAGTCATTCTACGGTGGTTAAGGTGTCTAACGGCTGGAGGGATACAGTGGTGAAGCCAGGCTCTTAATACTTTAATCTGCCACTGAGGGGCTGATGGTTATGAAATTCAAACTTCGCACGCTTTGTATTTTATTTCTGGGCACTCAGATCTATTCAACTGAGGGACTGCCAACCTGGAGAATCTAGGCTGTAGCCAGCCTGCTGGACGTGACCCGGACCTCGGTGTGACTTAATGCTTCTGTCACAGCCGGATCAAGTTGAAGCCACCACGAGGCCAGCTGATAAGACTAGAGTCTTGACAAAAGGTGTCACACGATAGTGTCAAGCCATATAGAAGATAATGCTAGAACGTGGCGTTTAAATACAGGTGGCGCGAGATATCGTATTCGGAGTAGGTGGTTTATATTGGCGGTCCCATTAACCAAGCTTTTGTTATCCGCTGCGTTAAGATATTGTGCATGAGGTAGTTAACACTTAGAACATGCAGCGTCGGCTGCTTGTTAGGAGTTGATATCCCACCCTCAACAAATACGGCTGTGCTCGGACACGGCCCAGATCAAGACCACCTCTGTCTGTCCTGCATCATCATCATAAGTGCACTTCCCAGCGGACTACGGGCGAAGCTCCCTGATATGCAGGGAGCCTTAACGGCAATCTTAACCTCAAGCCCCGGAGGCTTACAAAAGAAATCCCGCCGGGGTTAAGCTGCCTTGATGCCCGCTTCGTAGCCGGGGAGCTGAAGTTGAGTATAGGGATCGGATCGCGTCAACCATATTGATGACTTCCTAGGAAGTCATCCTCAGTCGCACCAGATGCGGCGCATGGAGAGGCTAGCCGTTAATGATACCGTCATCGCAACAGCTCAATACGGTAGTGTTTACGGTGAAATTTATGCAAGTGTGGCTGGCTTGTGCATGCTCAGCCACGAACCAAGCTCAGGGCGGCTCAGGGTCGGCTCAGTCTAAAAGCAGCGGGGCTCCAGGACCCATCCAGTTCTAATGGGGCTCGGTAAAACCCATCTCTGGGGTTCCACGAAATAACTCCATGAGCTAGTCCCTTTTTGGAATTACCTCTTTCGAAATCAGTTTGGGCATGGTGCTTCGCCAGGCTAACCCCATAATCGCCTAGCCTCATCAAAATTGCCCTGTGAATACCAGGGCTAGGGAAAGGGGGGGGGGGGCGGGGGGTTCTTTTTTTTTTTATTCTTTTTTTTTAAAGGGAAGAAAACGGGAAATGGAAAAGCGAAAATGGGGGCAAACATGGAAATTAGGACGACTAGGGTCTCGTCCGGCTTGTTCCCTTTCCTTTCCCGGCCCCACCCGGTATAATCTCCAGCTGAGGATCTCTCCTTCAAACCCCCCTTTTCAATAAAATCCACAGGTTACCTTACTCTCTCGCTTTCCCGCCTCTTTTGTCTACCCATGAAGACTGGATCCTCTTCCCTGCCCCTCGTTGTTACCACGGAAAACATTGGCCACTTCCAAAGCTTCCAGAGCACGTGTTGATAAGGCTACGACGAATGGCTGGATGCTGGTCTCTTCGTTTAAATCATCAAATCCCCTTGCTGCAAGGTTGACGTGCTGAATGTCCTTACTCGTGGACCTGAACTATCTATCTTGCCACGCAAAGCCAGCTTGAAAACAAAAATGGAAACATGAATCTAGACACGACTCAGGGGGGTTCATTTTTCTCGGTTTTCTCTCGAATAATTCTTCCCCCCTGACTCTCTACCCCTGACCCCTGAGCTTTTCTGGACCCCTGTGACAACCACTTCTGGACCCTGAAATCTGTAAAACTACCCCGGCACGACATGTCGCTTATCGCAACCTGCTTCCGCTACCTAGGGTGGAATGAGTGGAATGAGTGGGATTAGGTCAAAGATTTCTGGCAATCTTTTTCACTGTTTTAAGTTTCCCGCCCCTTGGGCCATGTCTCCCTTGCTCCGGTCCTCTTCTCTTTCAGCTCCTGTGCCGTTCCCCTTCTCTCCTTTCCTTCGAGGAGCACCCGTCACCCGTTTATTACCTTCTTCCCCTCCTTGTTCTGGGTCCCTCACACGATACCAGTTCGTAATACTAGTACGGAGTAGAGCTAACAAACGGGACTGACTGGACTGGGCCCACGATCCCATTCTCCGTTCTTCTCTCTTTGTGCTGGAGTTCTCACTCTCATCTTCAACCACCATCCACCACCCACCCGCCATTCACCCCTTTCCTACCCCCAAACATGGCTACAGCTACAAGACACCGCATGTCGTTCTCGGCCACCTCTACCGCCACCATGGTGGTCGAGCAGCCTAAGCAGTTGCCCAAACAGGTAAGCGAGCAGCAAAAAGAGCATTACGTTCAATGTTCTTTGCAAGTGAGGAGGACAGGTCTATCTTCCGTTCAGGACTGGTAGCGCTAACACATATCCCACACACAGGCGACGCTCAAGGTCGAACACGACCAATTCCCAGACATCCAGACGATCCGCGACGCCATCCCAGCGCACTGCTTCGAATCGTCCCTCTGGACGGGCTTCTACTACGTCTTCCGCGACCTCACCATGGTGTCCGCCCTCGCCTGGGCCGCCCTGACCTACATCCCCGCCATCCCGGACCCCATCTACCGCACCGCCGCCTGGATCGCCTACGGCTACGTCCAAGGGCTCTTCTGCACGGGCGTGTGGATCCTGGGCCACGAGTGCGGCCACGGCTCCTTCTCCAAGTACCGCGCCGTCAACGACTTTGTCGGCTGGGCCCTGCACTCGTTCCTCCTCGTGCCCTTCTTCTCCTGGAAGTTCTCGCACCACCGCCACCACCGCTTCCACAACCACATCGAGAAGGACATGGTCTTCGCCCCGATGACCGTGGCCCGGAAGCAGGAGATTGAGCAGCAGAAGCAAAAGACCGAGGCCGCCCTCTCGACCCTCGACCTGCACGAAATGGTCGAGGATACCCCGCTCTCCCAGATGGCCAAGCTGCTCGCCCATCAGCTCTTCGGCTGGCAGTCCTACCTCTTCCTCAACGCCTCCGCCGGCAAGGGCAGTGCCCAGCGCGAGGCCAAGGGTCTCGATGCCTGGTTCCGCGTCAGCCACTTTGACCCTTTCAGTGCCGTTTTCCGTCCTTCGGAGGCCAAGTACATCTTTTACTCCGACGTCGGACTTGCTATTACCCTGGGTTGTCTCTACATGGCGGCGCAAGTCGTTGGTACTTCGACCGTCCTGCTTCTCTATGCCGTTCCTTACTTGTGGGTACACCACTGGCTGGGTATGTCTTTTCCTTTTTTTCTTCTTCTTTTATATATATATATATATATATAGATACCACGAACCACTGACTGACTCGACCTCTGCATAGTGGCCATCACCTACCTTCACCACACGCACCCCGACCTCCCCCACTACACCGAAGAGGGCTGGTCCTACGTAAAGGGCGCGCTTTCCACCGTCGACCGCGACTTTGGCTTCATCGGCAAGCACATCTTCCACGGCATCATCGAGAAGCACGTCGTCCACCACCTCTTCACGTACGTTACTTCCCCCCTTCAAAAAAAAATTATGAACCTTCTGCCTGTCCTTCTCATACTAACGTCGAAAAAAAAACCCAGGCGCATCCCCTTCTACCACGCCGACGAAGCCACCGAAGCCATCAAGCCCATCCTCGGCGACCGCTACACCCTGGACAACCGCAGCTTCCTGGGCCAGCTCTGGCAGGCCTTCACAACGCTGCGCTACGTCGAGCACGACCCTGCCCACCCCGGTGCTCTCCGGTGGGTCAAGACCAAGAAGTAACAGTTGAGGAAAGAAGAACGAAAACCGCTTCTACCAGCGAGGTGCCATGTCAAAAGCGCATTCCAGCTGCGTTGAAGAGCAAAAAGAAAGAAGAAAACGATAGAGAGTCACATAGAGGTCACCGACATGGATGTACATACCGCCCCTTATTTCTTGGAGGCAGTTTCTACCCTGTGCTTTTTCGGGCTCTTCGGTTCCCACTTGGACGGCATAGACCGGCGGCGGCGCTTTGTATTTTGCGAAAACCCGAAAGATAGAAAGTCCTCCTCTCGCGGGGTTTAGAGGGAGAGAAATGCATTAGAGGTACTGATACTACTAAATGATCTTTATGAGTGCAATGGTTCCTGGGATTCGCCATTTGTTTTAATCCGGAAAACAACTGTTAGGCGTCAAATGCGCATATCGTCCTCGTCACCTGCGGTTCTCATGATTCAGATAGTGGCCGGGACAGATCGTTGCTGCTTCAACGCACGAATACGGTCCTAGATGGACGACGGTCATTATTGCCCTACATCGTCCAGCGTTGAACCTTATATGTGCTTGTAGCCAAGCTATGCTTTCCTCTCTGGGTAGGCGTACTCCCTCATAACCTCACCACGTCCTACTTACACTCATGATTCTGCAGCAGTGAAGGCAGTGGTATCCCAGTCAATGTCTCTAGGCTGGATCATTAGTCCGGTCGCAAGACTCTCACGCCTTCTCCTCGGCAGATATCTGCTTCCACTGCGGTATCGGCTTCTTCAGAAGAGCCCAGCTGCCATGTAGGTTCTAACTTGTAACGAGTCTGCGCATCCAGACCAACCCAAGCAAGCAAGATATTCCCAGAGTGGCAGCCATCATCATCAACCGATTCAACAAACTTGATATTTTCCAAGCTCGCATCCGTCCAAGCACCGTCTCCTTCAAAACACGTCGGAGGAGGAAGTCGAATCCTGGTTCTATCGTGTAGACCACACAATGTACCCACACTACGACGTCGACGTCCAAGACGACGATCGCGGCGAGACGAACACCAGCGTCGAGACGAACAACGTCGAAACCACCGAAACCACCAACGGTGTCAACGGCGTCGAAGATGAGAACCATTTCGATAATCACATTATCGAGAACGACACTATCGAGAACGACACTATCCAGAACGACAACATTGAGAGCGACAACATCGACGACAACAACATCGACAACGACGACATCGACGACAACATCGAAAACGTAAACACCGTACGACATGCCAACACCCCCGTCAGCCTCGGACTCAGCCTGGACGACAGCAGGCTCTCCCTCGACAACACCCGCTACTTCGAGTGGGTGGCAGACTACATTAGGGACCTCTACGCCTGGGCCCACGACGCCTACCGCATCAGCACCCAGACCCATCGCATCTCCACGTCGCTCATCGAGACGGCGCAGCAGGGGCTCCTATACGAACACAGCGGCGCGCTCGCGCAGTCGCAGAGGAACCGCGTCTGCGCCGAGCATATCTTACGGGACTTGCTGGAAAGCCTCAGGCTTGACGCTTTGGCGGGTACGCTTTAGGTGCCGTTCGGCGAGGTCTTGATCGATTTGAAGGGCGGAAGGAGCAACACCACAGGGAGCTCTTATAGACAAGATGTCTTGAATAGTTTAGTGACTGACTACCTTACTTTATACTATGTTTTGCTCTGAATCATGTACCCAAGGTAGATTCTTCTGTGCTCTGACTGGTACATGCACATTCACGACCAATTGACTCCCTTTTCGCCCGGCGCCCCTTTTCCTTTTCTTAAAAGAACTCGAGATGAAGCAACTCCGTTATTATGTACAGTAACCCAACCACGAAGGCCAGAGGAAATGTCATGCCGTTCCGAAAGACACAGTTAAGCCTCGCCAAGTCGCAGCAGCTATCCGTATTCTGTACTTCATATTGACGCCGCAGTGTAGCCTCTCGTCGTTGCGCAAGCAGCAATGGAACGCCAAAAAAGAAGAAGAAAAAAAAAGGAAAAAAGGGGAAACGGAAACTGACCATTAACTCCTCTCCCCCTTTCCCCGTCCCAGGTCCTTTCATGGCTGGGGGATATAATACACCTGTCCCATAACCATGTAGTCTAGGTAGAGTCTCATCATACACGTAAAAATGCAGACACCCGTACTTTACAGTGTTCCCCCCCTTCTCTGCCTTGCTAAAACCTCCCCCAATTAAAAGCACGGCGAAAAAAACAAATCCGATCCCAAGCCAAAGCCGTACGCCATACCAACGTAGCCATCCGTTGCCCTATTCGTGTGCCCGTGAACCCTTTTTGTCTGGACCGAACGCACGCGCTGCCTATGCCGTGAGGAGCCAATGCTGAAACAAACACGAGAAGAAGGGGAAAAAAAAGAAGGAACCCCCCCGGCGGAACAAAACCACCCTATACACGCCGTGGCACGACACCCCGTTCTACCCGAGCCGTCTCGTTGATCAGAGGCATGCAGCCAAACAACTCCGCAAAGATATTCAGACACTTCGACCGGGCCACGAGATGACCAGGCTTCCCGCTGATGCTCATACGCGGCGCAAAGTTATGGTACTCCCGATGGCCGCGGACCAACAGGGGCCCCGTGCGGGTCAGCATGGACGCGACGTAGTTCATGCCAATGTCCTCGCAGTTGAGGTGGTCGTCGACGTGGGCCCGGATGGCTTTGGTGGCCTCGTCCTCGGCCAGCGTGTAGTAGTCCAGGAACTTGACGTGGGCGAAGGCCAGGTTCGTGATGATCATGGCGTACTCGTCCTTCTTCTTGTCGCACATGTCGTACCGCCAGTCGCCGCGGTCGTCGACCCAGGCGCAGCGCGGTAGGCCGCCCACCAGGCGGTCGCGGCCGAACTTGCGCCACGACTGGAAGACGAACTCGAGGTCCGACGGGTAGAAGAACACGTCGTCGTCCGAGAGCAGGATGGCCTGGGTCTGGAAGTCCGGGTCGGGCTTGAGCTTCTCGTTGAGGCTGTTGCGCGGTGAGCGGCGGTAACGGACGGGGACGCCGCGGTCTGACGTGAAATTGGCCGGCGGGGTCTCTTCGAGGTTGTTCCAGACCACGACGACCTCGTGGAGGGAGGGGACGTCCGGGGAGGAGAGGATTGTTGTCAGGGTCGTGTTGAGTTCTACCGGGCGACGATAGGTCTGAATCGCGATACTGTGTTGCGTGTGTGTATATACACACAGCTTGGTTAGCCACCTTATCTCGGCGCGGATGGTGAGAGGATTTGGTGAGGATCAGGCCAGAGGATCAAACACGCTGGGACAAAGAGAATAGTCGAAGAGGGGAAAAAAGGTAGACATACGTGAACTTGTCGTCGCGCAATTTGGCATATTTCGCCTCGGCCGCCTCCAAGAACTCGGCCACGCCAGCACGGTGTGTGTCCACGTTACAGAGAGGAATCTTGGGCGTCGGAGGAGCAGGTCGGGGGAACAAGTCGACCGTCTTCGAGTTACCACTGCCCTTGACAATCCACGGCAGATCCCAAGCGGGGGAGAAGCCAACAAGGAGGATGACGAAGCCGGCGATGGCGGTGAAGGCCAGGGCGAGCAAGGTCGCCCTACCCACGAGTCGTGGATTCCTCCCGGCGAGGAGATTCATGTATGTGTATTTGTATTTGGCCATGATGGGCCAGTGACAATCGGTCGTTTGTTGGGTTCGGCTCGTCGACTTGTCGGCTCGGGTTGGTCAGCGCGTGGGATGCAGCGGCTTGTCGGTCGCCCCCGCGAGGAGCAGCACGACGCAGCGCAACGGAGGGAAAGCAACAAGAACTGCGGCTCAGCGTAGCCTAGCACAGACAGGTAAGGTAATGGATTGGTAGAAGGGCCGGCCGGGAAGGACTTTAAACGTTGAAAATAGAGAGCTGACCAAGTTCGGGGATGTGTGAGCGGAGGGGAAAGGAGGACAAAAGAGGACAAAAATCGAGGACGACGAAGAATAGGGGAGGGAAGCGAAGCGAATGATGATGCTGACCATAGAATTGGATCGACCAAGACCAAGAAAAGCTTAATTAGGTCATACATAAGGTACTAAGGTACATAAGGCACTGATTGTACTTTGTGCTTTGTACCTACATCGCATCGCAGCAACACGATCGGGGCTAGAGGTACGTACCGTACCCTACGAAGCTACCTAGATGTACAAGTACTTCGTATAAAATCTCCGTCCCTTTCCCAGTCCGGATACCTACATCGTAATAGAGCCACTTCGGAACGCCCGGACAACCCGTCATCACATTCTGGACCTCTGCGAGAAAAGGACAAGTAAATTCTCGTCCGGAAGAAGGAGTGTCCAAGGTAATTACCTTACTCAACAAGCCTCTGCCAGGAATTTTCCCGCATACCTCCGCCGATTCACCGGAATGTAGCCCTGCCCCTCCCTATCCCATACGAGAGGGAAATTTCGGCGTCCTCGCACGAAATGTGACTCGTTCTGCCCTATGGTGGAACATCTAGCGGACACGTACAGAAGTTATCGGCCAAACACTCTACGTGGTACGGATACGAAAACAGTCCGGCACTATAACCGTCATCGTGCATGACGCCAATGGCATACTACACTACACTGCTGATAACGCCCTGCCCTGGCGTCCACGCGTCATCCTAGATAGAAAAACACGCACTCAGGTGCCGGAATGCCGCCCAATGATTCGTAACAAATACATGTACCCATCGACTGGGACGAGAAGAGAATTTCACTGTTGACTGTCACTAACACTGTACCTTAGCCCTAAGACATGTGGATTTCCCAATGGAATGATTATTCTCCAGCGTTTTTCAATCCAGAAGACTGGGGACGTTTGTGCCGTGCCCCTCGCCTGCATTTTAATTTGTAGATCGGGGACATACGGTATTGGCCCTGTCGAACCTGGGGCCTTGACGCTTTGGTCCATGTCCGTTTGCATCTTAGGGAGGAGGACTCGTAGGTGGCAAATGGGCTTCAGACCGGGCCAAGGCAACAAGCAACCAGGTAAACGGTGCGATGAGTGCCACTCCCTCTCTGGCTTAACTCCATGTCATATTTTTCTCGTATACGGGGCGAAAAGCACATGATAATGTCTCATTTTTTTGTCTCGTCCTGGGAAGGGAGAAGGAAAGGGAGGCGACATACCTAATACCGCATTCCCTCCCTGAAGACATCTGCCAGAGCATGTACACGAGGCACCTAGGTCAGGGCAGCTATAGCTATCTATGATGGACAGCCATCTCACTTACCGGCTTCGTATCTACCGTTGGCCGTGTATTACTATAATCCGTTACCCTTCTACGCACACTCCCTAAAAAGACGAAAGGCATGACAAGCACTAAAACACATATGCAGGCAACAAGGAGGAACCTCTAACGGCCTTCGGAAGTACTGCTAGCAGAGATGATGCATCACCAGAAGTAGTCATGTGCAAGAGTGTGCAAATAATTACCTGTTATCAAGCAGCTCCAGGCAAATATGCCAAGGACCCGAAACCACAGTCTAGGCCGCATGTCTGCGATGCTATGCTGCCGTCCATGTCGGCGTCGTGGAAGCGTTAAGATGTTTTACACATAACCTAGGGCATCATGTTAGAAGACCTAGGGTTATTAGCACATCATGATCCCGAGGAGACAACCTTCTCCTTCACTTCGTCAAGAAAAAGTTGTGTGACCACAGGACATGCATAAGGGATACAAGACATGCAAAAACACCGGGCAGATGACAACGTGAAAACATGGGTAAAAAGAACGTGGAATTCACCAAACTAAAACTAAGAAAAAGAACCAAAAGCAAGGCGACCGAACCACGCCAGCGCACGCAAGCAGAACAGCAAGCAAGCAAACTGACTTTTCCTTAAGAAATCGAGTCGTGATGGGGTTGGCCATGCCTTCTGTTCATGGTCGAGTCCCTCGTCGTCATTGGTTGCGGGCAAACGAACAAAAGAAAATAGCGAGAGCATTGAGTAGAGCGTCGTATCCTCGTCGAGTCGGGTATGGGGATGACATGGCAGCCTGGTTTGACTGCCAGGCTAGTAACAGCCCTCGGGGGCTCACAGCGTTGGTACACATTTGTACACATTCACCTTCCCCCGACAGCCAAGCAGCATGCCTTCATCTCCTTTCGCGTTCAGGTTTGTTCGCTCACTACGAAAAGGCCCATCCACCGGCGATTAGCTTGACTTCCACACGTAGCGGAGGGGGCCAAGGGTTAACGAACAAACGGACGAACCTGCGTTGGGGCACCAGCGCCAGGAGGAGGAGGCGGGCCGCCGGGACCAGGAGGTCCACCGAAGGGCGGGCCATATCCACCAGGAGCAGCCCCCGGTCCGCCGGGACCGGCGGGTCCAAAGTAGTGCGGCGGAGGAGGCGCGGGCCGGTACGGTGTACCCACGCCCGAGTTATTCTGCGACCGACCCCAGCTGAGCCGGACGCGCGAGTTGCCAATCGGGTATCCCTGCATCTGGTTGATCGCCATCTCGGCCGCGTGACGATGGACGAACTGAACGAAGCCGCAGCCCTTGCCAGGAGGGATCTTGACGTAGGTGATTTCACCGAAGCCCTGGAAGAAGCTTCGAAGCTCATCCTCGGTGACGTACCCCGAAAGGCCGCCGACGAAGACCGTGGTGTTGTTGGGATCAGTGAACTGGTTCATCTGCTGCTGGAACGGCGCGGCGCCGTATCCCTGACCACCGAAGGCAGGACCGGGCGGGACGCCATAAAACCCCTGCTGATGGGGATGCATGGCAGGGGGCATCTGAGGGCCGTGGGGGCCACCATACGGGCCGCCATGGTTCCTGTCCGTGTCGTCAGTCATCGGTCAAGTTATCCACGTCGTAAGGGGCCAAGGAGCCCAGGAAGCAACATACCGGTTCTTAGGCGTGGCCGTCGAAATCCGCATAGGGCGATTTCCGCAGTAAACTCCCTGCATTTCTACGAGCGCCCGCTGCTGATCCGACTCGTCCGTGAAGCGAACGAAGCCATAGCCGCGGGACTGACCAGTGACCGCATCGGTCATGATCTTAGCAGACTTGCAAGACGGGAACCGCGACTGGAAAAGCGACACGAGGACAAACTCGTTCACTTCGGGGCCGAGGTCGCCGACAAAGATGGAGTACTCGGGACCGCGATCGTCACTAACGCTACATCAGAACGATTTCTTCAGCAGGGGAAAAACAAAATATAAGGAAAAGAAGGGGAAAAAACTTACCGGCGATCATTGATACCACCACCAGAAGCCCAGTTAAGCTTGAACATGCGAGCCGAGTTGGGAACCGGGTTGCCGTTCAGGGTAAGAGCCTTGGAGGCGGCTTCGGTGGTGGAGAACTCGACGAAGCAGTAGCCGGCATTCCTTCAACACATAGTTAGTAGCCGCCAAAAGAATAAAAGCAATGAACAGAATGTTGCTCATGCTTGTTGACTTACCCCGAGTTCTTGTCGCGAATGACCTTCACATTGACATTCTCGCCCGCGGCGCTCAAAAATACGCCCTTGATGAAGTTCTCGTCCATCCAAGGCTCCAGTTCACCCATCCTGGCATTTAGTTAGCAGGGAACCTGCGGATGTCCAGGTTTCGGCGAAGATTCTCACCAGAGTGTCGTCTTGTTGCCCTCCGAAGGAGTGCCAGAAGACGGGATGTTGGCAGCAGCCATCTCTGCGTTGACATTACCGGGAGCATATCCAGGCATGGGACCCGGCGCGGCAGATCCATAAGCATCTCCGGCACCATTGGCACCATTGGCACCGGGCTGGGGGCCGTTGTTATAAGCAGTCATACCATCCATAGTGGCAAGTGGCGATATCGCGTGTTGGGGATGATTTGAAATGTCAACTCTGTTCGAGAAAGTAAGAGTGGTTCTGTGGAAGAAAGCGACGTTGCTAAACGGTCGTAGGAAGGGCCGTTAAGGTAGAAGTCGTATCGTTATCTAACACGGCAATGGTTAGCATTGTCGGAGAACAATGGCAGGACCAGGTGATGAACGAGGGTAGTCACAAGAAGCGCAAGGCTGGGAAAGATCAGCCGGGTGGTATGGTCAGCTTACCGTTACAGTGGTTGCGAAGCGGGAATGAAGAGGGACTTGGGCTGGAAAATCGCACACCGACCAATATCCAGAACCCAAACCGAGACTCCGAAACGAGCAAGTGGCAAAGACGAAATCTCTTGACGCCGGCACGCCGCGGTGGAAACAGATATCGGAATAGTCTCGATAACGGAAGTGCGAGCGAAATGCGAAAGAGTTGTCGAGGAAGGACTTGAGAAAAAGGCTCCAATTACGACTTTTAGTTCCTCAAACACCTCAAAGACTTGCGCCGGAAACCGGAAATCAAAGGATATCAAGATTACGGTCGAAGGGACACCGGGAAAATGATCCGAGATATTCCTAACCTGCATCAAACATGTTAGCAACTTGTCTGTCTTCCATTTTGACAAGATGACTGCATCGCGTGTGTCCCAAGAATGCTAGTGCCGCAAACAGTCAGCCATCGCCCCAGAATGCGATGGTGAGCTGGGTGGATGTGTAAGCCAAAGCCATTCGGAGGGCTGGTCGCAGTTAAAAATCCTGGCCTCCCATATGCGATTGTGAACGTTGATCCGTGATAATTTTCGCCAATTGCAGGGGCCACGACGGCACCACAAAACAGAAATTGCGTTCTGCCAGGTAGAACTGTCTCGTCTCGACATCGGGCTTGTCAACAGCACGGCAACCCCACGTACTCGACACCACGTTGTTCTGGTGAGGCCTCGGGTTTGCTCGATATGCTTGCTGTCGTTAACAGCAGATGGCGAGTGCAGTCGAGGAAGTATTTGATGGACTATGTGCCAGAAGAGAATTCAAATAGCCAATTCCAGCAGGCGCTTAGTTCGGTGGGAGAGTCGGCATGATGCACTGTTGGGTGGCAGTGGCATGGATGAGGGCTCAAGTCATCGGTTTGAAGCGCGGGAGTCGTGGGACCATCAACTAATGATGTTCTCGGTGGTCTTGGCTGAGAATTGAACTCGCGTTCGCGGAAGACAAATATGTAGACCCGTCCAAATGATGTCGGGACCGGCAATTGGGTTGTAAATGCCGTGGCGCCCACATTTGGTTCCAGGGAATTGATAGGTTGGGGAGGGTTCTGGCCAATGACCCAGCCAAAAGGACGCCATGAAGAGGAACGTCATAGTACCCGGCGCCGCAACCAGGGACAATGAGCACCAAGGCGTGCGTAGCAGCACTTCTTGGGACGGAACGCGATGGCGGGAGGCAGTAGAGGGGCGAGGGCGGGGGCGAGGGAAACTTACTTTTGGGCGCCACCTGAGAAAAACACTCGACTAAGCTCGAAAAAACGAGGAGAGGATTCGGGTGCAATCGGGTAAGGGGAAAGGAAGGCGTCTGGGTAATTGTTGTGGAGAGAAGGGGACGAAGTTTCGGTTTCTCTATCAAAATCAAGGCCGAGGACAGATGAGAATATGACAGTACGGGAACTTGTCGAAGTTGCAGTAAGGGAGTAGTCTGTTGTAGAAGAAAAACGCGGCTCGGAGGAGGCGGGTGACGTCGAATTGACGAGCAGACTCTTTGGTGCCGATGCGCAACGACGGAAGAAGTCGAAGGTCGAAGTCGAGGTCGAGGTCGAGGTCCAAGGTCAAAGGTCGACAAGGTAACGGATGCGACTAGGTAGGAAGGCGAGCTGACTCTTCGCTGTTGCGAAACAAGCGAGGCAGAAAAAGTATGAAAAGAATCAATTCTTTTCTCTTGAGCAGAGGACTGAAAAAGAGTCGGGTTGCGAGGAAAACGCAGACTGCCAGCCGGACAATGGCAGGAGAGAGCAAAGCAGCAGCAGCAGTAAGCACTTGGAAAGCGCAACCAAAAGAAACTCAGAAAGCCCTTTCTCCCAAAGGAGTGCGGAGAGAATGGAGGAAGGCGAAGGGTGGATATTCACTCTTGGAAGAGAAAAAAAGGAAAACGGTTGGTCAACAGGAGGGGGGGGAAAGAGGAAGAAAAAAAAAGAACAAGAGGAGGGGAGGGGGGAAAAGGAAAAAAAAAAAAAAGAAGAAAGACACGAGCGAAAGTGAGAGAGGACCGGTTTCTCTCGACGAACGGGACGAACTGTGGATTCGGGATGGGATGGTGGAGATGGATGGTGGTAAAGGTAGAATGGGCGAGAGACTTTTTCTCTCTTTCTTTCTTTCCTTTTTTTGCTTCTTTTTCTTCCCTTCCTTCCCCCTTCGTCTCGTCATCACTACTTTTCCGAGCTGGAGCTAAGACGGTACCTTCCACCTTAGAGTTGCTCAGTATTAATTTGAAGTACTTTTCTATTGCTGAAATGGAAGAATGACCAATGAATACGCAGCCTGTCACGGGACGCGCTATTCTATTTTACTATTGGTACCTTGTATTAGCAAAGAAGCGAGGCACTATAAGGCCCTAAGAGTACCTATGTACATATGGACGTGTTGTGGTGCTGGACACGGTTAGGATATACCTCCTAAGACTCGAAACTTTCTTTTCGGACTGTGTGGATTAATATGTTGGCTGATGTTGTGGGTTTGATTTTCAAAGAAGTACACAGTACGCGGGTGTGAAGGAAAGGTAACGGTGTGTGTGTATGAAGTAATTACGGAGTATGACTAGCGTATGCGAAGTACTTGCACTTTGTATACCCGTTGTTTACCTAGCTGGAGCTCTAAGGAGACTTGGGAAAGACCTTGTTGAAGCACGTTGTCTGGGCATAATTTACGATGTACTTCGTATTTTTATTATATTACCTAGTCTCGGACAACGGTCCTGTCTTGACGCTTGACTCGATCGTTGCAGTTGCAGTACCCAAAGTACTTTTGTTAAACAATGGCTGTACGTTTTTCAATCGCTGCCACTCGATACCTTATTACCATACCAGTTTCCCCGTCAAAATAGTTCACCAAGCCCGATGTTGGGAGAAAGACTACATTGAGAGTGTCCTTGTTGTACGAAATCTCTGGGTAGGTATTTCCAGGGAAACAGATTCGCTACGAGGTACCGGGCAGCCGGCTGTAAATTCGTAATGTATGGTGACGAAACCGGGGGAGTCAACTTAGAAAGGTGTGTCCCGAGAGGAGGCATGAGGCCAATGGTTGCATGCTTTCTGGGTTTGATCGCCCCATCCTGCCCTGCCAAGCACCTTACTCCACTCTATTTTGCCCTGGGAAGCTGGGAAGCTGGGAAGCTCCTCATCGTTGTTCACCTCGGTACCTATCCAACTTCGTAATCGCAAATCTGTCGCTCCTGCAACAGTTGTCCTCGCAACGGCAAGTCGTTCAAACAGCCCGACAAGATGTACTGTTGCAAATCACGATGCTGCAATCTCAAGCCATATAAACTACCGATGCCATGTACGCTGGGCTTTTGGGAGTCGAGCATTCGATCTGGGTCAGGAAGCACAAAGTAATACGGAGTAAATCTCAAGAGCTGACATGAGACAAGCCCGTCCCGCTTCGTTGCTTTTTCGCCACGTGATATCCTCGTGGGCAATGGCTGAGCCCTCTGTTTGTGGTCTTGTTCGGGGTCGCCGGCAAAGGATAGGTGCCTGTGTTTGTTTCGAGTTGAAGGCAGGTGTAAACGACGCTCTTAGGGGCTTTGATATCCGGACAAGAGGCTGAGGATAGGCGGGCGGGTTGTTAAATTAAATGAGCAGTCGATCTTGACCTTCTCTTTAGACGGAGTTGCTTCAAGATGTAGGAAACGGTCTCCCCTCTCGCCGCAACGAGATATTGGCCGTGCTTCGAGGTGATAAAGCGAGAAAATGCTGCACTCGTTTCAGCTTCCCTGAGGGAACATGCATGACTTGAGCCCGGTCGCACAAGGCGCCCCTAATAGTGGGTGATCTTCCCTCTGAGGCTCATGTCCTCACTGGTGCAAACAACGTCGCCGAATCTTAAGGGAAGAGGTTTTGCTGTTCTTGACCTTGGACTGGCAGCCCTACTGAGCACGGGAGGGGAGGAGAGTACATGCAATTAGGCTTTGACAGGCGGTGCATTTTCAACTCACCGCCACAGCATCCAGCATCGACACAAATAAGGGGGAGTGAGCTCAGGGATTGCCCACGCCCAACCACCATGGCTCAATGCAAGTAAAATAGACCAGGTGACATGCATGTGTTGGGGTAGATCTGACCTTGGCTTTCCAGTTAGCAACGGTACGGTGTAGGTGGTCTGATTCTGGAGGTAGGTATGCCAAAATCGTATACTACCACGGGAATGACGGGGAAGAGACGAGGGGAGGGCGAATGTTGTCTTCCTTCAGTCGAGAGTCGACCGCTCTACCTAATCAATTGCTAAATGCAGGGAGCCGAGCCCCATTCTTGCTTGCTACCTTATTTATTAAAGGCTCCGCCGATCCAGGCAACTGGACAATTTTGTTCGTTTGGAGTTCCCGGTGTCAATGCACGCTCCTCCAGCGCCGTTCTAATGCGTTTGATGACCCGTTTATGAGTCCGTTGAATAACAAACGGAGTGATCAGTAAGTGATCACCGAAACACATGTCTCACCCACATATTTCAACCGAGATGAAAGTTCCGAAGTGGCGTTCTGTGGGCTGAAAATTTGACGGGCTTTTGAAACCATGAAATGCCAGGCTCGACGGCTTTTACTCCGTAGATCTGGGGGTAGATGAGACAGTGGTTCAGACTCCGACAATCCCTTCCCCTAGCTACTCCCCATGGATAATCATGACTTGTTCGGCTTCATCGATTTCCGTTCAGTCTTCCGAAGACCAGCGGTGATGTCAGCGGCCTTGGGACCTGAAAGATGGCGTCTGTTAGGGGATGCCATTCATATCTCGACGTTTGTCCACAGTCCCCCGCTCCAGACATCAAGTCAATAGTCCTTAAGTAACAAACACCATCACGGTTGCCTTACGCAGTAGTCTATTGTATCGACTGAATACCAGTGGAAAAGGCACCACGTTTGCTCAATTGATACCAGTGATCCAGCCTACCTTTCCCATTCATCAGACGCCGGGATTCGTACTGAGTAACAGATACTCAGGGTGCACCCAGCACGGACGCTAAGGCAGGCTATGGACGACCCTGACTCGTGTGAACCAGAACCAGGTAGTGGGACGTAGATGGGGACGCCTAGCTCGGGTTTTCCTTTTCCCTTTTTTTTTTTTTTTTTTTTGGTTTTCGAGAGGGGGGGAGGTTTCTCTCTTTTGCCTTTTCCTTCCTTTGCTGCTTGCGACAGCGAGCGTTTTCCCTCGGCCTATTACCCGTGCCACGCCCGACTTATTTTGGCGGCTTATGGCTGGTGAGTTCCAAACGAACCAAAATAAGTGGGACGTGGCACGGGTACGGCGTATTACCTAATTATCTGGACGAAGGAAAACTCCCTTAGAAAGGATTGAAGTTCAGGGTGCAGTGGAAGACAGACTCGACTCCACTATAAAACAACTCCAACCTTTCCCTGGGGTTTGATGAGTCAGCATCAATTACCTAAGTGACGTGACCTTGTTGCTGACTACTATCTCCCATGTGAACGACCACGAGGCAAACCCCCTCCTTGGACAGACATCACCATCAGTCCGAAATTCCATTGACTTTCACCCCCAGATTTCTTCTCACTTTGTCCTTATCTGCCAGTCACACTGAAAGGCCTCGTTGGTCTGCTGATCTCACGATTCATGAATGACCCTACTCCCCCCTCATACTCCTCCTTTCTCAATCTCATTTCCTCGTCTCCCATCTCTACTTCCTCTTGAATCTATCTATAGTTTACTATCACCGGCATAATCTACCCTCGTTATCTATCAGAACGAATCCCGTCAAGTCCTGGAATATCTACCGTCTTCTCTCTCGACTTCCAGAAGCCGTTTTTCGTGTATCGTCTAGACAGCGTTCCTCCTCCTGTCATATCTTCGCTCTACACCCCAACCCGACCTGAACACTCGCTAGAACCTCGGGTGGCACTATGGCCGCCCAATCCACGATGGAGCGGGAACTCCAACTGGTTGATCGAGCCATTGACAAGATTCTCAAGGTGTCTGGCGACGAGTCTCAGCTCCAGAATGTCTTGCACGTCTATCTCGCTCCGTTTCTCGCAAAGGCCGGCAGTCCGCATCAACAAGTGCGGGATAAGGTCCGTACTATCTCTGATGCATCAGTCCATTCTTGGCATCTTTGCGCAAGCTGTTGCTAATACTTGTTCGCATTCGTCTAACAGGTCATCAAATTCTCCCGTACCATTGAGACATTCATCCTTCCCACAGAGTGAGTTCCCTTTTCCCGTTCATGATAACCCTCTCATGTCCCCTAACAATGCAATGCGCCTATGGATATTGAGCGCATATATGCTAATAGCCTGGCAACAGATTCCCCCTTCCTGCTCAGGCTCTGATCAAACAGTATAAGAGCACTGAATCTCCAATTATCCAGCTCGTCAGTTCCAAGTTCATGACCTATGCCATTGACCGTGCCGACGACTACGATCGCCGCCCTCTTGCCCCTATCATCCTCAATGGTATCTCCTCTGTCAAGTCTGGGACGCCCAGTACGACCATCTTCAAGGTCCTGTTACGCGTCCTTGATTCCATCATCATTCCACCCCGCGGATCCTCCGAGGAAGCTGGTTTCCGAGACACACTTGGCTTATCCGATGGCAAAGACGCTTCCTGGGTTGCCGAACGATTCGGCGAGCTTCTTCTTCTGAAGCTTCCTAGTCTCAGACAGCCCGATCCTCTGCGACCATCTGATGTCGTTGCCGAGATTGGTCCCATGAATACATCATTGAACACCGCCGATCTCAGCTTCTTTGCGCCTGAATGGACCGGTCGAAATTGGTCCGCCCCATACGACAATTTACCAACTTTAAGACACAAGATCGCCCAACTACTCACCAGTGCGGCTTTCCAAGACCGAGAGAAGATTATCCCTGCCGTCCTTGCCGCCGGAAATAGCGACAGCCGGATCTCCGAGCTCGGTAGCGACATGCTCAGGCGGACTACCATTTCCTTCGAAGATGTCGACCTCGCGAAAGACCTCTTCAAGGCCCACTCGACCCTGTCTGCTCCATATCGCACAAAAATTCTGGAATTGCTTTCCAAGTCCGCCGTCTCCACCACCATGGAGACAGAGATTGCTGCCGTCGTGAAGCTCGATCTTGTCGACGACTCCGGCCCTCTCCTGCCGGGATCGGACCTCGAGCGCGTCAAGCTGCATCGCGCCCTCTTCGCCTACCTCAACTTCGCCTCGAGGTTGGCAAGATCCCAGGGTCGTTTCTCCGTAGGCTCGTCCCTGAGCTTCTCCGTCATGGAATACATCGAGAACCAGGGCTGGCCGTGCCCCCATCCGCCGAACCAGCAAAATGGCCACGCCAGCGCCAAAACCAGGGCCATTAGCTCCTCCATCGCCTCCGCGGACCAGGAACTCCGAGGAATGGCCTACGAGCTTGTGGGTAGTCTTACCGCAGCAGATAAGATCCGTGTCGAGGACGCCTTTTCGATTTCAGAGTGGCTGCTGCAGTCCCTAAGCCGGGACACCACCCCTGACGTCGGTATGCGCATCGAATCCGCCATCGGCGAGCTGGTGCGCTTTTTCGAACCTAAGCAGTTCGACTTGGACCCCAAGTTGGCGGTTCTGCCCAATGTCCTGTACCGGTACTTTGTTTTGCCCAGCCCGCCCGCTTTTCGCAGTCTCAAGCTCGTGACCGTGAAGTGGGCCAACCGCTCTATGCCCTTCTCCCAGTGGAAAGCCCGCTTTCTCGACATCCTGGCCGTCGCCGGCACGCCCGGCGAGAAGAGCGATGTAGTGGAGGAAGGAAAACGCGGCCTCGACCCCTGGACATACAGGGACAGTGTTCTCCCCGAGATCCCGGACTGGGCCGAGTTAATCTATCCTTTCTTTTACGAGGACGCCGAGAAGCACTTTACCTCTCCGGGCGCGAGCAGTGCCCCTGGCTCCGCCCCTGTCGAAGAAGAAGAAGAAGTGACTTTGCGAAATTTTACAGGCGAAAGGATCAACGCCCTGCCCGTTGCGCTGCGGTTCGTGAGGGATATGATGTTCGTCGACGCTCTCGCCGACTTCAAGAAGAATCCACACTGGGCCTCTCAGATGGAGGTTGCCATCAACCACAACATCACGATGCGACGCAGACTTCAATCGAGCCTCCGATGCAACAGCGAGAAGCCCCTCCACCTGGTTCTCCAAGCCTGCCTCCGGGGCGCCGTCTCCCGAGACACCCGCGACCTGGACTCGGTCGTCGAGCAGTGCCTCCGTTACCTCGTTGATATCGCTTCCGTTAGCCCTGAAAAGTTTATTGGCCACATCGCAACACAAAGCGTTTTGCTCTTCGATCTTTGCGCCTCAAATTCCAAAGAGATTCGCGTCCTGGCGGCCAAGGCGTTCGGCATATTCGCAGGCCATCCCGCAATGGCTTGGGAGGCCGTCACGTCACCTGAGACTCCCGCCGATGCCACCCACGTCAAGCAGCTGCGTGCCATTCTGGAGACCATGAAGGCCCGTATCTCGCAGTGGGAGACGGCCGTCGGAGCGGAGGCGAACGCGGTGGAGGGTGCTATTCTGGCTTATGCTCATCTCTTCTCCCGCATTCAGTATTACGGTAGAGGATATCAGCTCTCGACGCTTCCCTTTGTCTTGCCGGCTGGGCTTCTCCTTGGCCAAGGCAAAAGCCTCGCTATGCGCGACGTGGCTCTCGAAGCTTTCGCTGAGCTTTGGTGTGCCCGCGTGCACGACGCCATTCCGCGTGAAGGCACAGATTTCCATCCCCGCGCGGTGATCGACTCTCTGAAGGAGCTCGCGGAACGCGGCAACGAAAAGGCCATCTTCGCTCTCGGCCGTCTCGCCATGGCGCTTGACGACCCATCCGACGGGGCAAAGGAGACGAGCGGTGATGGACTCGTCAACCCGGAGGATCAGGGGGGTGACCACATCGACTCCATCCTCCGGATCCTCTTCAATCTCGGGAAAAAAAGAGAAACCGAGATCCAGTTCGGCGTCGGAGAAGCCATCACGGCGGCCATCGCACGCTTCGGTTCGGAAGAAGTCTTGCTCCATGTGAACGTCGACGAGGATAAGACTCTCTGGACCGGTGGAGCGCGAGACCACCGGATCACACTTGTCCTCGACAAGCTTTTCCTGGATTGCAAAGACACAGCGCCGTCCCGTATCAAGGCCGCGGGCATCTGGCTTTTCTGCCTTGTCCAGCACGCCGGTCGCCATCCCAGCGTCCAGTCACGGCTCCGCGAGGCGCAGGTAGCTTTCATGCGACTCCTGTACGCCAGAGACGAGCTGGTCCAGGAGACCGCATCTCGTGGGTTATCGCTGGTGCACGAGCGGGGCGATCAACAGCTGCGCGAGGACCTCGCCCGCGACCTCGTCTCGTCTTTTACGGGGTCGAAAGTGCAGCTCAAGGTCGGTGAAGACACGGAGCTATTTGACCCCGGCGCCCTGCCCACGGGCGAGGGGAAGTCTGTCACCTCGTATAAGGATATCGTCGCTCTTGCGAACGAAGTCGGCGACCAGAGCTTGGTGTACAAGTTTATGTCTCTGGCGACCAACGCGGCCACTTGGTCCGCTCGGTCTGCCTTTGGACGTTTCGGCCTCAGCAATATCCTCTCCGACTCTCCGCAGGACCCTAGGATCTACCCGAAGCTCTTCCGCTACCGTTTTGACCCCAACCCCAACGTCCGACGCTCGATGGGTGACATCTGGAAGGCATTGGTTAAGGACCCCAATCGCGTTATCGAGGAGCACTTCGACGCCATCATGGATGAACTGCTTCGCAGCATCGTGGGCAAGGAATGGCGAAGCCGGGAGGCGAGCTGTCGTGCCATCGCAGAACTCATTGGGGGCCAACCTTTCGAGAAGTACGACACCTACTACGGGCAGATTTGGTCTTCTGCGCTCAAGGTCCTCGACGACGTGAAGGAGTCTGTCCGTAGCGCCGCGCTCAGGCTCTGTATGAACCTCGTGAATAACATCGTTCGCCTGCTAGAGGGTGGAGGCTCGGCCACGTTCATCTATCCCATGCTGCGGGCGGCTCTCCGGTTCCTCATGTCGCCCAACGGAGTGGAGAGCAGCGCTGCCGAAGTCAAGGCGTTTTCGCTGGGCGCCCTACTCGACGTGGCGAAGAAAGGTGGCAAGACGCTGAAGCCTGTCGTGGCTGAAATGATCGTCTGCCTCCTGGGGCTGCACAGCACGGTCGAGCCCGACCAGATCAACTACGCGTACCAGAGGCTGCAGGAGGATAAGCGTGGCGAGCTCGACAAACTGCGGGCGTCGTTCGTCAACCAATCGCCCATCAGCGAGGCGGTCGACAACCTGCTTCGCCAGCTTGACGGTGAGATCATGGCGGACCTGGCTCCCCAGATCGAAGAGACGATCAAGAGCGCCGTCGGAATGCAGACCAAGATCGCCTGCGCCCGCCTCTTGGTCGACCTCGTGCTCCGACACCGCGAGGTGATGGAGCCGTATTCGGCCTCGTTCCTACGCTTGATGGAGAAACACGCGCTGGAACGGAACGACGAGGTGAGCAAGGCGTACGCCAAGGCGACGGCTTACATCATGCGGGTGGCGCCTGATCCGGCCAAGGATCGGTTCTTCGACAAGTTTATCGATTTATACTTTACGCACGAGGACGACGCGCGACGGCAAAAGGTCGCGGATGCCATCTTGGCGTTCTCCAAGGCGTCCCCCGACGCGTTCAACAAATACGAGGCCCGGCTTTTGCCCCTCGCGTATTTCGGATCGCGCGACACGGACGAGTGGGTGAGAAAGGCGTTTGAGACGGTTTGGGAGTCGCATGCCGGGAACAGCCGTACGGTGGCTCGATACGCACCCGATATCGCGGTCTTCGTGGGGCGAGGCCTCCAGGCGCCTCGCTGGGTCCTTCAGCATACGGCGGCGTTCACGATCGCTTCGATGGTTTCCGCGCTAGTGACCGCCAGCGATATCACCGACGGTCAGATCAGCAAGGAGAATTTGCACCTTGTCTGGCCTTTACTGGACAAGGCGCTGGCACTCAAGCCGTTCAGCGGCAAGGAGAAAGTGCTGGCCGCCCTGCCCGAGTTCGTGGCCAAGGGACGCAGGCTGTGGATGGAGGATGGAGGCGTGGCCAAGCAGATGCACAAGGTGGCGTTACGCGAGGCCAAGCGCAACAACGAGGTGTACCGACCCCACGCGTTCGAGGCGCTGTGGCGCTTTGCAGCGGCTCGGGAGGATCTTGACATGCTGGACGACGTCTTCTCGGTCGTCCAGCCTCACCTGGACGAGCTCGTCGAGGACGACCGTATGGACACGGACTCGGGGGAGGAGGCGGCGGCCAAGGGCCTCGAAGCCGTGGCGCGGGGCTACCAACGCGCGGCGCTCAAGGCCAACGCGCCGGGCGTGCTCGAGAAGATTATCAACCTCCTCAAGCCGTACCTTTCGCACGCCCGTTTCGCCGTGATCAAGCGGGAGGTCTGGTACGCCTGCGTCCGGGACATCATGCGCGAGGTCGGCGCACCGGAGAGAACGGGTCAGGTCCAGGTTCAGCCCACACAGGGCGCGTCGGCGGCGTTTTACCTCCTCAGCTTGGACCCGGACCTTGTGGACGTTGGCACGGAGACGCAGCGCAAGACGCGGGCGGAGGCCATTGGCGCGCTCTTGGCGGCGAAGGGTCGTGGCGTTTTCGGACCTCCTCCCCAGGGTCCGGAGAAGGAACAGCTTAGCGGCATGGTGCGGGGTGCGCTTGAGAGGGAGCGGTCTGTGGAAGTTCAGGCCCAGTTGCGGTCGATTCTTGAAGAGATGGTGAAGTGTTAGGGCTCGGGTGTAACGTGTTGACTCGAGACATATTTGTGTGCTCTCTTGCTTCTCTTGCCATGCCAGCGGTCTGGCTTTCCTTTCTATCGATTCCATCCGGTATATTGCTCTATGCACAACACACATCACCTTTTATGGTTGTTGTCTAGAGAGCACAACCAGGACTCGCCTCTACTTGCTTGCCATCACTATTCGCTACCACCACTGCCATCAGAGCCTATGAGACGCATAGATTATGTGGGCAGTATGTCAGTACTCGGGAGCGCCTGTATTGTAATGAACGCCACGAATATGATAGAGTCAAAGAAACATGATTATGCGTAACGTGTAGGCTGATACGAGTGTCGCGTCGTGTAGAATGTAATGTCGTAGCCAGAGTGAAGTCAGATCTTGGGCTCCTGGAACACGAAGTACTACGAAGACATGGTGGAGAGGATTATGTAATCATCCCGACCGGATAAAATGTTCCCGGTTCCCGTCATTTCACAACAAAGCCAGCACAGGAAGTGGGGTTAGCGTTGGGGTTGCTGGTGATTAGGTACGTACCCCAAGCAGCCCCGCGGTTGCGTCACAGGACTGGACGCCTTCCGGGCATCACCACCAAAAAAGAAACTCAACCTACACCTACACCTACACCTACACCTACAACGTTGCCAACCGCCGTCCCGCCGTAACTACGCAGTCCTTTCGTGTGGTCTCCGTTATCCATCAGACATCTATTTAAAGCACGTTACACGTCAATACTTTCTCACCTATTTATCTTGTTTGCTGCGTCTTTCCTCGTCCCGACCGGCTGCAAGCAAACGTGCCTTGAGGGTGTGTGGGGCGAGAAGGCAAGAGGGCAGACCGCGAGAGGATACGACCATATGGGGAGGAACCTTCAAGGCTTAGGATTTTCTTGAATTTGTCTAACTAATCAGTCTCGACGCTCCGCCACGGGACAGCGACGCAGTCCCTTCGTTTTTCGCACGGTTATCGTTCCCCAGTCCCGAACACAGTCAGTCCCTTCCGGGTATTTGCTCTCTAGCCAGGCTTTGACCTCGAGACAAAAAGCAACGCAGAAAGAAGAAGGCGAGGCAAAGGAGGAAGAAAAGAAAGGAAGAAAAGGAAGAAAAACGAAACAAAAAGTACCACGGTCAACATGGACGAAGACATTTCCAACTTCAGCGCCATCACAAATGCCGACCCCCAGGTATCTCGCGGCTTCCTGGAAATGTCGGGCGGCAACCTCGAGGCGGCCGTCCAACTCTTCTTCGAGAACCCGGACCTCCAAACTGGCTTCGGCGCCGCCGGTTCCACTACGGTCCCTCCTGCTGTCCCTTCCAGCACACGCCATACCGGTACCGGTACGAGTGCGGGTGCGGGTACGGGTACGGGGAACCGGAACCACCCGATTCAGATCGACAGCGACGACGAACAAGATGATGTCAGCATGACGGAAAACGGCGACGACGACAATGTACAAGTACTCGGCGGAGATGACGATGATACCGAGGAGGCGGCCCGGATCGCCCGCACTGCACAAGAGGAGGAAGATGCTGCTATGGCGCAGCGGCTTCAACAGGAGCTGTTTGGCGGGGATGGAGGGGGAGGTTCTGGCGCTGGCGGCGGCGACGGTGGTCCTGAGGGCGTGCGGTCGCCTATCCGAGCGACGACGGACACGCTGGTTGGGCCGACTTTTGGGGGACTGTATGATGATGGCGAGGTGTCGTCGTCGTCGTCGACGTCGTTTATTCCGCAGCAGATCCGGCAGACGGCAGCTGCCCGACCACGAGGTATATTCTATTTACTTCGCCCTCCTTTCCTTTCTTTTTTTCTTCTTTTTTCTTCTTCTTTTTTTCTAACGTGGTGACCTTGCCAGGTGGCCCCCGAAACCCGTTTAACCACGAAACTAGTATTTGGGACGACGACCGTGACGCCGCCCGAGCCGGGGGACCCAACAACTCGAGCGAGCGTGCACGTCGTCTCGCGGACCTCTTCCGCCCCCCCTACGGCCTCATGTCGCGACTGGAATGGGACGAGGCACGAGACCAAGGCAAAGAGGAGAAGAAATGGATCATGGTCAACCTCCAGGACAACAGCATCTTCCCGTGCCAGGCCCTCAACCGGGACATCTGGAAGGACGAAGAGGTGCAGGAGGCGGTGCGGGAGCACTTCATCTTCCTCCAATACTCCAAGAGCTCGCTGGACGCGCAGCAGTACATCACGTTCTACTGCCAGGGCAACAGCCACGAGAACCCGGACAACTACCCGCACGTGGCCATCATCGACCCGCGGACGGGCGAGCAGGTCAAGCTGTGGAGCGGGCTGCCGTTCCCCAGCGCGAAGGATTTCCTGGTGGACGTGCGGGACTTTCTGCGCCGGTACAGCCTGGACGGGAGCAAGAAGAACCCGGTGGCCAAGGAGACGGCGAAGCGGCCCAAGACGATCGACGTGGACCGCATGACGGAGGAGGAGATGCTGGAGCTGGCGCTGCAGAACAGCATGGCGACGGCGGCCAACGGCGGTGGCGGCGGCGGCGGGGGGGCGGGCGGTAGCGGGGCGACGTTCAAGTCTAGTGTTGTTGACCCGGATTCGCTGACCAAAACAGAAGAGAGGGAAGTCGCGAAGGAGAAGGAAGGCGGAGAAGACGAGCAAGAAGAAGAAGAAGAAGAAGAAGAAGAAGAAGAAGAAGAAGAACAGGCGGCAGCGAGCGCGTTCGCTTGCATCGCGAGCGACAAGCCGCACGAGGAGCCGGAGCACGACCCGGGCACGACGACGCGGATCCAGTTCCGGCTGCCGACGGGGGGCCGGGTGATCCGGCGGTTTAAGACGGACGAGCGGGTGCGGCGGGTGTTCGAGTGGCTCAAGGCGGAGCCGATCGCGGGCAAGGAAGGGGTGGAGTTTGAGCTGAAGAAGAGCCCGCAGGGCCAGGACCTGCTGGAGGCGCTGGAGCAGACGATTCAGGAGGCGGGGCTGAAGCAGGGCACTGTCATGGTTGAGTTTTTGGAGTGACCTCCGATTCCTTTTGTTTGTCTTGCTTTACAGTTGCATTATGGACGTTATCATTCAATTTTGTTTCTTCTTTCTGGGCACGGACATGGGATTTTATTCACGGACGAGTGTCCCATCGGAGGATGGTTGACTTTTAATAGACTCGAATGGACGGTATCGTTGCCTTTTTTTTTCTTTTCCTTTTTTTCCTATTTTTTTAGGTAAGTCTAAATAACACCCATATTTGGATACCCAGCACCCAGAAAAGTGGGCTATGATCCACTATACTCCCTTACTCGAATATCCCACTATAAACACATATAAATCCCGAGTCGGTACAAATCCAAAGACATAGTGATATTCGTTAATTAAGTAAAGATCAAATTACGTCACCGTAAGCTACGTGGGCACGTCGAAGCTATTTATATATTAATTTCCTTTAGTTCCTCTATAGCCTAAATAGTCGCTTATTACTCCTCCTCTCTAATCCTGACTTATTTATCGAAAAAGCCCTTAAACTGGGCAGAAATAAACCCAGATTAATACTCTCCTAAGCCCGTAAGAGCCTCCTCTACCTTAATCGGTTCGTTAGTAAATGGTTTAATAATGCGTTAGTATTTATAAAGCGCGGCTATTCCTGGTTTATAGGAAGAAGGCGTGGTTATTAACGTAATAGCTAAAGGTGCAGTTAAAGGCGGCGGCGTAGTTATTACCTCTAAACGCTCCTCTTAATCTACGATTTTAAAGGCTAATACTAATCGCTTAGTACTAGTCTTACCCTAGCCCTGGCCGTGACCGGTTAAGGATATTATAATAGCTCCTTTTAGCCAACCTTTACCTTAGATCACTATTAGGTTTAAGGGCGTAGCTAGGGCTTATTCTAGTAAAGGACTTACCTCGGGGTCTAAGGGTCTATTCCACTACTAGTGCCGATTAATCGATCGTAACTATAACGGCTCGTTATCTTATAAGTGACTAAATAGGATATACTAGCAGGGTAGCCCGTAAGAGGTTAGGATTAAGCAGGGTAGGTAGGCGACCTTTAGGTATAGTAGTTAATCGTCGTTCTTCTTAGGCTTAGGCAGTAACTTGACCTGTTATTAGATCGCCTTAAGCGCCTATAGAATAACTTTTTCTCGAACCAAGGAGAAGAGGATAATTAAGCTAGTAAAATCCACCTTATTCTATCGGCGTGCTCTCTCGGTTAAAATCTCTCTTTTCTAGTGCTCCTAGTAAAGCCGTAGCTTCTAGAAAATAGTTGCTAAATCGCCAGAAAAGCTATAGAGGAAGGACTTTAGGCTTACGTGGCCTGACTCCACGATAGATATTATTATATAGCTAAAGTAAGGAATCTAATTCACCTAGTAACGTATAATCTTCTCTTTAAATAGTATAATCCAGGTTATTAGGGCGTAATTAACGGCGCCTTCTAAGTGCTTACTATCTTATTAGAATACCTCGAGTTATTGATTAAATTCGTCTTCCGAAAAGCTATTAATCAGGGAATTCTAGTCCGCGAGGAAGGCATAGAATTTCGGATACCGTTTAATACTAGACGCCGTTTTTATCGGCTTAGGGAAAAAGCGTTTAGTCTTAGCTAGCATATTTATATTAACGTGCTATAGGCATAGGATATAGAGAACTTAACTTAAGGTTAGCAGGCGTTTAAATGCGTTTATTAAGGCTAGCTCCCGGTCGGTGATAATATAACATAGAGGGGGGGAATCAAAGGTCCTACGAAAAGCCTTAAAAGCCCGTAGAGCCTAGAGGTATTATCCCTCCTTCTCTCCATTCACGAAAACCATAGCTATTTAGAAAGCCTTCCGTAACGGCGATACGCTATAAATACTCAGAAGAGGTATATTAAACCTATTTATTTTATATATATAGTCGAAGAGTAGGGTATCGGGTGACTATTACAGAAGCGGGATAACTGATTTCGGAGTAATAAAAAGGCATTAGACTCGGCTAAGGTTATCGCGCAGATCCTAATAGAAGAACCTTAAAGGGTTATTAAGTTACTAATAAGTTAGTATACGAAGCAGTATAAGCAGGGGGCGTAACTTATATCGTAGAGCCACTAAAGTGGCGTACGACTAGTAAGCTCTTTCCGATAATAAGCAGCGAGGATATTCGTTATATCTCGAGCTATAATACTAATAAGCGGCGTAGGAACCTTACCGCTATTACTTTTAGGGTTATAAAGTCGGGTTATAATTTAATAAGGCCGTGAACCGCTATTCTATATAGCAATAATCTCCTCTTCGCGTATAGTAAGTTAGGCGGTACGAAAGGAAGGGAAAATAACTGATATGCCGGATACGGCGTTATAGGCGTGTGAATAATCAGAATGTGAAGATGTCTCGATTATGATCTAGCTTAGTGTGAGCTCGTAGAGCTCTGTGGCAGAGGTAACTAATATACCTCTGCCTCCTACTAACTTATCTGTCTATAAGAATACTATATAGCTAATATACCTCTATACGTGTGTATAGTAATACCCTCCCCCTAAAAATATAATCATCCCGATTACTATCCCTTCTTAGATAAGTCTATACCGACCCCGGCCTAGAAAAGAAAAGGAAAATATTGGTTATCTCCGAGTAAAAAACCAGAAAATTAAAAGATCTCTCTGCACCTTAGATAAGTAATTTTGTTATTAAGCTTTCCGCTTAATCCTATATCCTACTATAAATATAAATCCAATTTCTGCTTTTATCCTGCTTATTCACTTTTTGCCTCGTGCGACTATTTAGTCCTCTGCGTTTAACTAGTTATCGTTATCCGTATCCTGCTTCTGCGAGAGTGTTTACGATAGAGCTTACGGCTATGTATTCGATTATGTTTACGACTATGGCTTTACCTGCGGTTTCTATTCCGTTTATATATACGACTAGGTGAAAGGGTTTTTCTTTTACATCTACGACTACTTCGTTAGCGTGGAAATCGGTGTCGTTATAGGTATTATTTTCTTAAGATCGGTTCGTATTTTATTTATAGTCACGTTTACTATACTCTATCGGCTTTTAACGTCGGCTAATCTATAGTTAAAATCGTCTAGGTCGTTCTTAGTATACACTTATAGGTTACTTATATTAGTTTAGGCTTTTACGGTATTCTGCTTATAGTTATCGTAGTAATCCGATAACTCTCTCCGAATGATCTTCTCGACGTTATCTGCCTTATTCTGCACCTGCTTAATCTCGTTTAGAAAGTCCCCTCTTAGTTTAGTTTTAAATACTATAAGGTCTATAAATATAGCTATCTATTATATTACTATTCCCTACTATATAACTAGTCCCTGTTATACCGATATTCCCGTCTATATACTCCCCTAACCGCTAGTATTAGTTTTCTTTAGCTTCTTTAGTTTTACCTAAATGAATTCCAGGTTATTACTGGGTGAAAGTAATTTCTTACAATACCTATTATACCGATCGTTATCTCGCTACTAGATAATCTCGTAGACGATTTTATCTTTATTACTTATAGTCGGCTAATCGCCACCGATCCTGCTATTATCTCGGAGAGCTAGTGCTATGATATAGTAATTAAGGAAACTATACCCTATACCGATTTTATCCCTTAGTCTTTGCACGAGGTCTATAGGATTAAATAGTATAGATCTAATAAGCTAATCTACTCTAGCGATTAAGTGCTAATCGATAGGTCTATCTACACCCGTAATTATAAAGCGCTAATCTATAAATATTTATTAGATAAGCGTATCCTAGTAGTTAACTACTCCTATTATAGTGGACTTCTTTAATACTCCTAGTATAGTTAGCTAAGTCTGAGTCGTCTACTATATTTACTATGAAGTAGATTAGGATATAGTTAGATATTAACCTTATTATACTGCCTATTAGGGAAACGTTTATTATAACGGTATAGGTGGTAACTAAGTTAGCTGATTTATCTATAGTGCTATTATCTATAAGGGGTTTTATGGTATCAGTATAATTAGGTTTCTAAAGTCGTCTCTGTATAGGCCGTATTCGTCGTCTCCGTAAACTCGTATCGTCTTATCGTTTATAGTAAATCCCCCGCCCGGCATCCTCTAATATCTATTATCCGTCACCGACTTTAGATCCTAAGTATCGTCGAGAAAACTAGAGTCCTCCTAATAGCGATATTTAGCCGTGGCTACTAGCGCTTACTCGAAATACTATAAGGTATTCTGATTATCCGGAAGGTAGTCCTTATCGTCGATCTTCTACTATACGACTATCTATTCGTTTATCTATTCTATAAAGCTACGTTTTCCCCCCCTTAGCTATATATAGTATACTACCTGCTATACCTCGTATATATTTAGGCTAAGGTAAGCTTTTCTAGCGTGCTGAATCGTTCTAATTACCACGGCTACCTTAGTTATTTTAGTTTCCCCGACCTTTACCGGAACTGAAACGATTATCTATAGACTAGTTACCCGCGAATCGTTTATTAAAACGGTTAGCAGAGCCGCCTCTACCGCTATAATAACCCTAATTAGCGTTATCGGTATCGGCCTCCTTATCCGTTACTATATATGTAAGTAGTCTATTATCTAGTAAAACGCCAGTAATAAGAGTAATAGACGGACCTCCGAGTATATCTGCACGGATTATACCGTATCGAACTTAATACTATAGAGATTACTAGCGATTAGTAATCTAGTCCTCGATAGCACGTATAAAATCGTTAAAATATTTATCGATATCCAGGCGAGGGCAGATCTCACGAAGCGAGGGATCGATACGGTTCTAGATTTCCTGCTATAATTCAACGTTCGTACGAACTATAGTAGCTAAAGCCCTATAGTAGCGAGCTACTCGGTTAGCCTATTCTGCAAATGATTTTCCGTTTAGAATATCGCGTGCTATAAAACGTATATCGCTTATCTTATTAGCTATAATCTCCGGTTTAATCCGCTAACGTCTACGGAGTAGAGTATATATATTATTAAGGCTACAATAAACCTTATTACGCTATACGGCTATAATACTACTAACCTACTAAGTATTAGCTTTACTTAGGAAGAGTATATCGAGATTAATATAAGCCTCCTCCCTTAGCTCGGGAGTATAAATAAATAGCTTTACCTTCTTAATAAATAGATCGATATTATACTAGATTACCTTATCTCTAAAGACTATCTATATCGCTGATAGATCTAAGAGGTTTACCGGTGGACTAAATTACCCGATTAAGCTTAGCTTACGGCGAAAAGAGAATCGGCCGTCTCCTTCTATACTATTATAGCTAGCTTTACTATTCTCTACGACCTAGATTAAGGTGCTAAAGAGTATCTAGACTTAGTTATTCGTTAGTATTACCGAAGGGGCGGGGACCTATAGCGCCGGCGGCTACTATAGGAACTAGGTCTACGGAATTTACTGCTACTAAAAATAGGGAGTTTACTAGCGCTGCCTATATTACTACGGGATATATCGCTGCTTAGCTTATCGTCGCTATTACTCCATATACCGTTACTATTCCTCTACTAACTACTACTAGCGTACTACGTGCTATTACTCCTACGTTACTTACTACTAGGTCTACTACTACTAACCCGATATCGGCTACGTAGCCTGAGTTACGTCTATATTTATATCTATAGAATTCTGCAAGATCGCGGCTAACTCGGAATTAATATTAATAAACGGTTCCTAAGACCGATAAGGAGAGGGTAAGAATTACGGTGAATTAGAGTCCTATAGTTATTTAACGCGAGGATATAATCTAAAGGGGATTTATGAATAAGGAATATTAACGGCATTTATTAGAGATATACGAGTAAAGCTAAAAGGCTTATAAGGGTAGGGTTCGAAGCGATAAGAAGTGTTCTAACGCCTATATTTCCACTAAGAAAGCTATAATGCTTTACCTGTCTATCGAGAAGACTATAACACTTATAGAGGGGGAATCTACCATCCTCCGATTTCCTATTAGGGAAAAGACTAAGGCACTTCGCTTATCTACCGGGAAATAACTTTACTGGATAGTCTGCTCCTAGTGATATTAAGAAACTTTAGAACTATAGTTAACGTTCCTTATACTTACTACTAATCTATTAACTACGCTACGAGGAAGGTTAGGCCGGAATCTAGCGATTAACCCCTAGCGCGGTATTTAGTAGATCTCGTAGTCGCCTACGATTACTAATACTCGGCTTTAGCTCTCTGCTATAGGAGAGATCCTTCCTATTCGATAACTAATAAACTGCCGTCGGGTAGGTCTTACTTCTACGCTTAGTTAGGGTATACCTGGATAAATTTATGAATATAGAATAGCTCCTTCTCTTTAGAAGATAACGGGTCTATCTGCCATAGATTATAGGCAGGAGAGGGTAGGATAAAAACGCTATAGAACTATAAACGAGGTAAAAGGATCTATGGCTAAGAATAAGGTTCGCTATAGGGGTGTGACTATCGTGTTATTAACTATTAATAACTGGATAACGTTAATAAAAAGAGGGGTAAACACGATATAAATAAACGCCTCGTGCTCGTAAGTGTGTAAAGGCGGATTACGTGAGAAATAGAAACGTTTAGGGCGTTTAAAGGTGTGAAATCGTTTAATCTGTGAATTAAATAACTGTAATAGTGTAGACGTTAAAGTGGTTAAAAATACGAGAAAACAGTTACACGTCTACAGCTTAGCGCTACTAATCTGTAGAACCACAGGGATATAGAATATATAATAAGAATCTGCGAGGACGATAACAGATTAGGTAACTTAGTCGATAGTGTTAAAACGTGCAGAAAATACAGATACGCAAAATCAAAACAAAAAGGGTATAGTATAGTGAATAGTCGTAATAAATAGTTACTACCATTAATATACCGGATACGGCGTTATAGGCGTGTGAACAATCAGAATATAAAGATATCTCGATTATAATCTAGCTTAGTGTGAGCTCGCAGAGCTCCGTGGCAGAGGTAACTAATGTACCTCTGCCTCCTACTGACTCATCTGTCTATAGGAATACTATATAGCTAATGTACCTCTATACATGTGCATAGTAATAACTATCTATATATATTTATAGTTATAGGTATTAGTATAATCCCCTCTAATAACTTACCGATTATCTCGAAGCTTTACGCTTATACGGAAGGGGTAATTAGTTATCTATAAGGCTATTCGGCGCCTCTTAGTTTCGTGAGTCTCTAAAGGAGTCGTTAACGAGGCGACTCGACCTTTCGCATATCGATACGTTACCGACACGGGATTACAGGCGTTTAGATAGCTCTTATAGATAATAAGGCTATAACCGTTAGCGAAGGCGTAAGATCGTAAAGCGTTATCGGCTTATTCGAGGGTATTATAGCTTGTAATAGGCGGCCCTAGACTACAGGGTCGATTAACCTATTAATCTATAATTATTTATAAAGATTAGTAGGTTAGTAGGTTAGGTAGGTTAGTAGGTTAGGTAGGTTAGTAGGTTAGGTAGGTTAGTAGGTTAGGTAGGTTAGTAGGTTAGGTAGGTAAGGTAGGTAGATAGATACGGTGACGTAATTACTTAATTAACGAATATCACTATATCTTTAGATTTATACCGACTCGGGATTTATATATGTTTACAGTAGGATTTTCGAGTAAGGGAGTATAGTGGATCATAGCCCACTTTTCTGGGTGCTGGGTATCCAAACATGGGTGTCATTTAGACTTACCCTTTTTTTTCCTACCCTTCCTCTGTCAACTAACCTGCAAGACTTGCTCATATATCCTGTAGACTATAGTCCGAGAACAAGTTGAGCACAATCATGACAAGACATGTCTACGGTGGTTTGAGTTGAGGTTATTTCACTTAATCGCCGTGATGTTGTTATCCTCGCTGGACCCTCTCAAGCTGGACGAGTACCTGTATAGACTGTTTACCAAAAGCCCACATATCCATTGAGAACCACGGGATGATGGATGATGCGTGGATCGACGCGACGACTGGATAGCGCGGACCTTAGCTGTGCCCGTGTTTACTCCGCATGGGCATATTCTTAATCCCCCCTCTGCCTTCGAGATGCCTTTTGTATCGCGTCGCCAATACCGAGTACGAACAAAGGACAGAAACACCAGGTACAACGTACTTAATAAAAGCTGGGCATACCTTACGCATAAGGTACCTTAGGTACTGTTTAGGCCTCTACCTTAGTGGCGCTGATACCTTAGTGTGGCACCTTAACCATTTAGCCTGTGGATGTATCGCGGGGAAGTACTGTTCAGGTTGCCCTTCCCAAGAATGTACCGTTGCTGCACGTTTCTGCTCCAGAGATACCTTGAATTACCCTTCCCACCTTCCCACAGATCACACCGGGAAACGGCGGTACCTGGGGAAGGTTAGAGGTGGCAGTTGGATGACGATGACAGGGCAAATAAACGTAATTAAGCGGGGCAGGCAGAATGAAAACAAAAACAAAAAAAGCAAGCATAGGTATCAAATAAAAATCATCGTCACCGCCTTGGCTACCTAGGGACAAGGTACGAAGTAACATCTGTACTGTACTGTACTAGGTACCTTACCTTACTTCGCACATCACTGCGACCACTCGTCTCCCTTTCAACATCGACATCCCTCCCTCTTTCTCCCTGTCTTTTTCCTTGTCTCGGCCACTGGCCTAGGATTGGACGTCGGACCTCAAACAAAGGGATTCATTCGATTCTGTCATTCTAGCCTTCCCTTTTCCGTGCCAGTTGATATCACGTACTCCGTACATTCCACGCCGTCCTCCACGAGTACGAGTGTCCACGAGTCCAGTGGTCTTCACGAAATTCCTTACGCTCCCGCTCACCGCTGTTGAGCCAACAAAGCCGAAGCCGAAGCCGAAGCAAAACCAGTCACATTCTTCCCCCTCGATCCTCCCGAATCTTCAATTCCTTCAATTCACACACCGGCCTGCGTCTCGAGGCCGCGAACATGGGTGACAGGGATAGGAATCATGACGAGGGAAACGAGGCCCTGGACCCCCAAGTCCTCTACACGAAGGAGTATTGCATCGGTAGGGCCTAGGACCATGGGAGGAGGATGTGCTGCTTCATGACGTGCGTCCATCTGATTGGCTGACGGGAACATCACAGGCGGCGGAAGCTTTGGCAAGGTCTACAAAGGGTGTGTGTCTGTCTCGTCCCCCGGTTGTCCTGCCCCCCCTCCCCACAATCCTCCCACGGCCTTGCTAATCTGGCCCCGTTCTCGACGTTCTCGACTACAGCGTAGATAAACGTACCGGTCAGGCTGTCGCCATCAAGATTATCGATATTGAAAGCGCTGAAGACGAGGTCGAGGACATTATCCAGGAAATCGCCATTCTTTCCGAGCTCCAATCCCCCTACGTTACGAAATACTATGGCTCGTACGCCAAGGGCGCCGAGCTGTGGATTGTTATGGAGTTTTGTTCTGGCGGGAGCTGTGCCGATCTCATGAAGCCGGGCAAGATAGGGGAGGATTATATCGCTATCATCCTGCGGGAGCTTCTTCTTGGCCTCGAATATCTTCATTCGGACAAGAAGCTGCACCGGGATGTCAAGGGTGAGTGGCCAGATGCACCAAGCCGAAAAGAGACCAGAGATGGAGGGAATCGGTAGTGGAATGGAATGCCTGACATGTGCTGCTGCAGCCGCCAATGTCCTCCTCAGCTCGACCGGCCTCGTCAAGCTGGCCGATTTCGGTGTCTCGGGCCAGCTCTCCGCCACCATGACCAAGAAGAACACCTTTGTCGGCACCCCTTTCTGGATGGCCCCCGAGGTCATCAAGCAGTCCGGCTACGACCACAAGGCCGACATCTGGTCCCTCGGCATCACCGCCCTCGAACTCGCCAACGGCGAACCGCCCTACGCCGACATCCACCCCATGAAGGTCCTCTTCCTCATCCCCAAGAACCCGCCGCCCCGCCTCGACGGCAACTACACCAAGGCCTTCAAGGAATTCGTCGAGCTCTGCCTGCAGCGCGATCCCAAGGAACGCCCGTCGGCGAAAGACCTGCTCAAGCACCCTTTCATCCGCCGTGGCAAGAAGACGAGCTACCTGACCGAGCTCATCGAACGCCACAACCGCTGGGCTGCCAACCACAAGGGCGACGAAGAAGAGAACAACAACCCGCCGGGCCCCGTCGAGGAGGACTACCACCACGCGCGGGAGCCCGTCGACGAGGACATGTGGGATTTCGGCACCGTGCGCTTGGTCGGCGAGCGCGGCGGCGTCGTCGTGCACCGCCCCGGATTATTGCATCCCATGGACGACGCCGCCACCAACGCGCGGTCGAGGCCACTCGAGCCCGACGCTGCCGACTGGGGTGGCCGGGACGGCAGCCCGACCAAGACGCCGCGTGAAGGAGATTTTGCGCAGCTGGCCGCCGCGGTAGCCGCCGCCGACACTCTGAAGGTGAACACTGGCACCTCGAGGCAGACGTCCCCTCAGCGGAAACAGGTGGTGGTGCCTACCATGGTTGCGCCGCCGCCGCAGTCTCCGACCAGGGTGCCGTTGCCTGCGTCGCCCGAGAAGCCGCAGCCGCCGCATCCACGGGGTCTGGAGACGCCGAGGCCCGCTACCAAAGCCATGCCTCCTGTTCCCGTCACCCGGTCTCCGGATTACGATCGAGAGCTGCAGGCCCAATTACAACGGGATATCGGTCTGCTTCAGCTTAGCCAGGCCATCCAGGAGGCGGATGACCTTGACAGCAGCCAGGCCACGCCGAGACCCCCGCCGCATCAACACCCGCTGGCCCCATACTCGCAGCAACCCTCGTCTCGACCCGGCTCCAAAATGGGGCCCATCACCCTACCGGAAATCCCCCCTTACAGGGGCGGCGGCGGCGCAACATCCCAGCCGCCTCCGCAGATGCAACCCCTGAACAGACTAGCCGACGAGTCGTCATCATCCATGACGCCCTCGTCTCTGTCCACCTCTACATCCGCCGCCGCCGCCCCATGCAAACCGCCCGCGTTCACCTCCAAAGCCCAACCGCCCGAAATCACCAACCCGACGTCCTTCCCGTCCCCGGCGCCCGCGAACGCCAACGGCGAGCTGGACGCCCTCAACGACGTCATCTTCCCGGCGCTCGAAGAGGCGCTCAAGCGCCGCCAGATCCGGCTGCAGCAGGTGTACCGGCCGCCGTTTGCGGCGGCGCCGGCGCAGGTCACGCCGCGGCAGCAGCGGGCCGAGGCGGCGCACGAGAAGCTGCGCAAGCTGGTGTACAAGCTCGCGCACGTGTGCAAGGAGATTGACCACTACGACAAGGCGGAACCGGTGGGGATGGGGCGCGACGTGGGGACCTTTTTGGAGGGGTTATTGGAGGAGATTTTGGTGAGGGTTGAGCCGTTGGATGAGGAGGAGATGGGGGTGAACTAACCTTTTTTTTCTTTTCCTTTTTTTTTTTTTTTTTGGTCACGGGTTTATTTTTTTATATTTTTTGTTTTGTTTGCTTGGTTGAAGGGGAGGGGCGAAGCATTATGATTCATGATGGGATGATTTGGAGAGGGCTGGATGTGACATGGTAATGCAGGAGGGGTTGGACGGAAGACTGACTGGGCGTACATACACACAAGGACTGTTCTACGTTAAGCTATGAATGGAGCTGGACTCAGGGGAAGGGAGAGATGGGACCTATGGAGGAGGTTAGAGCGGAGGTGCTACAGATGTAGGGACATGGTCGTTTTGCATTATACCCATCCTTTACAGTACGGTTGGCGGATTCATAGGCTACCTTTTTCTTCTTCTTCTTTTTTTTTTTTCGTTCTTATTTTCTTTCAGTCCTGAACCTTAGTCGTCGCCCATCGTCTAATCTCTACAGATCATACACAGCAAATACCTGCCTGCCCTCATCCACGAATACCACGCACTCCGCACTCCGCACTGCGAAGGGCGGCTTTGGCAAAGGCCGAGGCGATGAGGACGTGGTGGCCCAAGGCGACCATGGCGGATAGGTGAGACTATAAGGGGGGATGGTGTCCTCTTCTTCCGTCCTAGGGACTACTCCACGGTTGTGTATGCATTGGGGGCAGAGTCGACTATCCGTATGGGCTTATATCTCGGCCTAAATTGGGAGAATGACATTGCATCCCCCCCCGGGCCCCCAAGTTGCTACCCCGCCCTCCTCTCATCATCACATGGTTGGTTCTAACATTGATCGGCAGATGACGGTGGATCATACCATGCCCGTCCAGGTGTTGGTCAGCTTATTGCGAGTCTTCCCCGGAAAGATCAACATGGACAAAGCAAGTTATCTACCTCGTATGTACCTACGTCGTACTCGACTGACGATGTATCTCGGTAGTTACCCCGCAGTCCCGCACGTCCTTGACTCCTCCCCCGCATTCCACCTGTCAAGGCGGGCGTGGCGCCCATGCCAACGCCACAATATCCCACTTATTATACCCGTCATAGGTCCCGGGTTTGTCCCCAATTTTGTTCTGCCGCGAGCCAAACAGTAAACTTCCAACTTCCTCTCTCATGCAACTCCTGCCGCTCCCCTCTCATGTCGACATGCATCATCATGCCCAGTTCCCGGCATATCATGCAAGAAACTAAGCGGCACACCTCGGAAACGTTCCCGAAGCTCAGAAGACTAAATCTGTCTTGAAATTATCCCATTGGCCTGCCATGCCCGATATGCTGCCCGCCCACCTCGCTGTACAGTGTGTTTAACCGTTTAACGTCGTCCATCACATCTCTACTGCGGGATGCACAGATTGCGTGAAGCTGGGGAGGGGAGAATGATACCCCGAGTGGCATCGTTGTCGCTATGATATCTGCCGACTGACCTTTTCCTCCGCCCGGGCGGGGGGACGAGAGCGTTGGGATTCTGGCAGGAGAGATCCGAGAGAAGATCGCACGCCTCCTCTACAAGGATATATGAAGACTACATATATTTCCTGTTCAGCCCCATTCTCGACGGCTGGATATTTTGTGGATCTTGTCCGTCGAGGGAAACCAAGGCACCCACGGGCCACACACTACATATCCGGTGTTGTGTTTCTCGTCCACTGTTTGTGCTTGCTCTCCGTCTCTCAGCCAAAGATGCATCCCGTTTGTCGCCCTACTTGGGCAGCGTGGTTAGGAAGTCTCCTCTTCTCTTCGATATGTGTCCAAGTTGCCGCAACCACCACCAATGGCACATCCAACTCCACCAGCAACGAGTGGTGGAGAGAGCCCTTCGGCATGTTCCAGACCAACCTGCGCGAAATCGATGCCGACATGGACGTGGACCAGGTCGCCGACTTCATCCTCCAACACGGCGCCACCGCCTGGCTCACCAGCGTCGGCGGCATCCTCGCCAACTACCCCACCGACCTCGACTTCCAGATCATCAACCCCCTGCTCCACGACCGCCCCGGCCGCGACCTGATCCAGGACACCCTCGACGCCGCGCGCGCCCGCGGAATCCGCCTCCTGGGCCGCATGGACTTCTCCAAGGTGCAGCGCCCCGTCGCCGAAGCTCACCCGGAGTGGCTCTACCTCTCGCCCAACAACACCTGGCAGACCCACACCAACGACCTCGTCTCCGTCTGCCCCTCGGGGGCCTGGTACCAGGAGCGCGTCTTCGACATCATGGACGAGGTCATGTCGCGCTACCCGCTCGACGGCTTCTTCATCAACTGGGCGGGGTACAACGAGAACGACTACTACCGCATCTACCACGGCGTGTGCCACTGCGACAGTTGCCGCCGCCGCTGGGCCGACTACACCGGCACTGGCGACGACGCCAAGGACCTGCCCGACGGGCCCTGGAACGGCACGCTGTACGACGAGTGGAAGGTCTTCAGCAACGGCGTCATCGACGAGTGGACGGCCCGCGTGCGCGACTTCATCGCCGACCGCCTGCCCCACGCGGCGCTCATGCTGGGCGAGAGCGCCGACATTATGTTCTACGAGGCCAACAACGCCGTCGACCGCGAGGTCTGGCACCACGCCACCTCGGAGACCGCGAGCCGGTTTGTCTCCTTCCGCCCGGACGTGCCCGTCCTTGTCAACTCGGCTTCGTTCCTCGACCACGCGTACCGCCTCACCTCGGAGGAGCCCGAGCACTACGCGCAGTTCCACCTGCAGGCCATCTCGCGCGGCGCGAACCCTTCGACGTACATCCTCGGCGTGCCGGGGCGCGTCCCCTGGGACGGCATGGAGATGGCGGGGGACATGATGCGCTTCCACCGTCGCCACCGTGACGTCTACGCCGGCCTGCGGCCTGTGGCTACGACGGCGCTCGTGCTGCCCGAGGGTCGCCAGATGGAGGATGCGCAGTACGACGGGTCGCTGTCCGAGTTTAAGGGTCTTTACAAGGCGTTGCAGGAGCTTCACGTCCCGTTTGACGTGTTGTCGCAGCGCTACATCCCGGGGACGGCCGAGAACGGCGGGTTGCAGCGGTATGAGACCATTGTCGTGCCCAACATGGGCCGTATCGCCGACCGGGACGCTCGTATCTTGGACGAATGGGTTGCGGGAGGAGGCACCCTCGTCGTGACGGGGGCGATTGGCGTGGAAGCCGAAGCCGAAGCCGAAGCCGAAGCCGGAGCCGAAGCCGAAAACGACAGCGACAGCGACAACGACAACGGAAGAGAAAGAAACCCAAGACAAAACACCGGCGCAAAGCCACAGCTCGACTCCCTCCCCGTAGCCCACCAAACCAACTTCACAACCGAGTTCCGAGACCTCTGGTCCCTCTACATGGCGCCCGAGCAGGACGAAACCGGACACCACCGCTACCAAGGCCCCATCGTCCCCCTGCTGCACACCTACGGGCAGTACGCCTGGAAAGACGGCGCGCAAGGGCGGTGGAAGAAACTCGACTTCGCCCCCTTCGCGCCGCCCGAGTACATCTACGGCAACGTGCAGGTCGACGAGCGCGGGGCCGGGTTCGCCTCCTTTGGCGACGGAAACGCCGTGCTCTTCACTTTCCCCGTTGGGAGGGGATACCGCGAGACGGGGCTGAGCTGTTTTCGGACGTATTTCCGCGTGGTGCTTGACGAGGTGGCTGGCGGGGAGCGGAGGGGGCCTTTTACCTTTGACCTGTCGTCGCAGGTCGAGGTTACCGTGAACAGGAACAGGGAGGGACAGACGGTTGTTCATTTGATCAACTTGTCGGGGATTCGGCATCAGAACTTTGGGGAGCGGTTGCCCATCCCTGGTAGCTCCATCAGGCTTTCCGAGACGGCGAGGGAGGGCGCCAGGGCTCGGACGTTGGTGACGGGGCTTGAGTTGGAGATGGAGGAGGATGGGACGGTTCGGGTTCCTGGGTTTGAGCTGTTTGAGGTTGTTGTCTTTGAGGGGATTTGACGTCCTACGGTCCTTCTACTGTGTGTGAATAGTTCACCTATGTGGTGCTGGAGTCTCCTGAGTCTTGGAGCCTGGGGCATCATATACGCACCTTCCTTTTATGTAGTTTATGTTCCTTTTATACAGCTGCCTAATCACCTCCTTCCTCGACACATATAGTTGCCGGGATATCAAGCAATTCTGTAACGTTTCTTGAACATCTAAGGTACTGCTTTACCTTCTTACCACCTGCTTCGTTAACCTCGCCCTCTCTTCTTCTCTCACCACCTTGCTAACCCTTCACCATCATCAACGCCTTTACGCTGCATCAACTTTCCGTCTCTGCAAAGGAACGTCTCATCAACCACAACTCTACTCCACTCCATCTGCATGAGCATGAGCATGATGGCGCGCACGGGCGGCCTGGTCACAGGCCTGTTCATGCTGCTCGGTTTGCTCCTCATCTCCTCGCCCATTCCCCGGATTCAAGGAATGATCCTGGAGCCTAAGAATGGTACAGCTACCAACACTTCGCTCACTTCGCTCACTTCTCTCGCTTCTCTCGCCGAAACCAACCCCGTCCTGGTTCGCCGCCAGCCAACACCCCTGGACAAGTATATCCAGTGCGGCGAAGAAGTCTCGGGCATCATCCACTGGGGCGAGATTGCTGCCCAGCAGTGGTATTTCGTCTACCCGATCGGGTGAGTGCCGACTGCCGATTGCCGATTCCATTTTGCCCGCAGCTTGACACGTATCAAGTTTTCTACTGCAAGCTCTATCAGCCCAACAAAAGCAAGTCAAAGACACTGACGGGTTCCATAGCGTCCAGGCCCAGAAGATTTGCCGGGGCCAGACCCTCTCGACCAATTTCAACGGCGAGTACGAGGTGCCCGACGCGTTGTGGATGGAATACGAGTGGAGGTCGTCAGGTGACCGATGCCACAACAGATGCGAAGAGGTTTTCGAGGCCTTGCTGACAGCGCCCAAGTGTGAGCCGCCACCTTCCTTTTTCAAGTCAAGCGGATGCTAACAACCGAGAGACAGGCCACTACGAAGACCACTGGGTCAACACCAGACGCGCATTCACCCTCCCCAACTGCGGCAAGGCCACGTTCCGCCTGACACCGACCTTGACGGGGATATTCGAGAAACCCGCGCACAAACACCCCGGCGGCCGGTTCGAGTGCACCGGGACGGAACCCGCCTGGCAGGTCGACCGGGGCCTCCTCAGGGACTTTTGCCGCCACGCCGTGCCCGCCATCAAGCCGCGCGGGAGGGACTTCTTCGCGCACAGGCAGACGCGGTACGGCTACTGGAGGTCCCACGACGACCAGGCCATGTACACCGTGGAGGCCGGCCAGGATGCGCAGAGCCGGACGGGTTCCGTGCATCTGGTCGTCATGCTTGACCTCGACGCTTGCCCGAGTACCGGGGAGGACCGGTTGAATAAGGCGGTTGGGTTGCTCAAGGAACTTACGGAGAAGGAGTGTGGGAGGTATATGGGCAGTCTGGGACATCAGTGGTGTACGTGACTGTTTCTGTTTCTGTTTCTTTCCCTTTCGCGCCTTTTCTTTTCTGTCTTTCCCCTCGATTCTGATATCTGTCTCTCTCGTGTGAGGTACAGTGTACTGACTGGCAACGATGTGTAGGTATCAACGACAGCGAAGTTCCGAATCGTTTGAGTGCCAGGTTTTTCAGCCGTAACTGCCTGCGCTGGGGGATCATTCCGGCAGCCGATGGGTTGGGGCCCTGAGTTTTGCCGCTCGAGGCCATGAGGCGTCTGGGAGGCTGGGATTTGGTTTGTCCATGTTGGTGAGAATAATATTATTAGTGATTTGGTGAAGGTGTTGGTGGTTGAGAGTCCATCCTGGGACTCGGACTCGTTGGAGATGCGCTAGGAGTTAGTTACTGTACACGTGTACCTGGAGCAGTGTCTTGGTAAGCAAAGTCACATGATCAGTGATGTCATGGCAGTCCAGGACAAGAGGAACACTCCCCAATGGTCAGTATAATGACAAGAGAGACGAAAAGAACGAGCCAACTTGAAGGATCACAAACAGAAATACGTATAAAGTTATAAAACAGATGGACATAAGAGGACGGAGAGCCTGGGAAAAGCATAAAGAGAAGACATGCCAAATACATGTGACAACCCCACTGATACTCCATTATATCTTAGCTAATCGACCAGGCTAATCTCCTTCCGTCCGACCGGGGAAACCTCGGGCTCGGGGAAATGTTAAAAGCGAGCAGGCTAGCATCGGAAATCGGCCGAGAGGGTCACAACACCGAGCCAACCCAAGAGACCAGCGAGACCCAGCAGCCAATGACGGCATCAGGATACTTGTTAGTGGCTACCTCGTGCGGCATTTGGCAGCCTTTCGACTTGTTCCACTAACTTTTCGACCCAGAACCTGATTTTCCTTTCTTTTTTTCTTTTTTTTTTCTTTTTCTTACTACTTTCACTTTGCTGGTCATTTTGCTTCAACACTTGAATTGGCCAATTTCTTTCTTCTAAATTCTTCTAAATCACCTCTCACAGCGAATACTGACCTCCTGCGTGTCAATTCTGTTTCTTCTTCCGCTTCCACCAGTAGAACCAGAACCCCGACGGTCACCATGTTGTCTCGAGGCACCGCAAGAACCGCGCAGGTACGTTTGTTTGTCCGTCGTCTCGTCTCACTGGCTGTGAATGGGTGAATGAGAACCGACCGCTGACACCCGACACCCGGCACCCCCCCCCAGCTCCTGCGCTCTTCCGCTGCTGCCGCCCAGCACCCCATCCTCCCCGGCGCCCGAGCCTCGTACGCGACCGTCGAGTCCGACATCTTCAAGCCCACCAAGTTCGGCGGCAAGTACACCGTGACGCTGATCCCCGGCGACGGCATCGGCGCCGAGGTGGCCGAGAGCGTCAAGACCGTCTTCAAGGCCGACAACGTGCCCATCGAGTGGGAGCAGGTCGACGTCTCCGGCGTCGACGCCACCTCGGAGCGCACCGAGGACCTCTTCCGCGAGTCGGTCGCCTCGCTGCGCCGCAACAAGCTCGGCCTCAAGGGCATCCTGCACACCCCCATCTCCCGCTCCGGCCACCAGTCCTTCAACGTCGCCATGCGCCAGGAGCTCGACATCTACGCCTCCATCTGCCTGATCAAGAACATCCCCGGCTACCAGACCCGCCACAGCGGCGTCGACCTGGCCATCATCCGCGAGAACACCGAGGGCGAGTACTCCGGGCTCGAGCACCAGTCCGTCCCCGGCGTCGTCGAGTCGCTCAAGATCATCACGCGCGCCAAGTCGGAGCGCATCGCCAAGTTCGCCTTCAACTTCGCCCTGGCCAACCAGCGCAAGAAGGTCACCTGCATCCACAAGGCCAACATCATGAAGCTCGCCGACGGCCTCTTCCGCTCCACCTTCCACCAGACCGCCAAGGACTACCCCACCCTCGAGGTCAACGACATGATCGTCGACAACGCCTCCATGCAGGCCGTCGCCCGCCCCCAGCAGTTCGACGTCATGGTCATGCCCAATCTGTACGGTGGCATCCTGTCCAACATTGGCGCCGCCCTCGTCGGCGGGCCCGGCATCGTCCCGGGTTGCAACATGGGCCGCGACGTCGCTGTCTTTGAGCCCGGTTGCCGCCACGTCGGGCTGGATATCAAGGGCAAGGACCAGGCGAACCCTACCGCCCTGCTCCTGTCGGGATCCATGCTGCTGCGCCACCTTGGTCTTGATGAGCATGCCAACCGCATTTCTCAGGCCGTCTATGCCGTTATTGCTGATGGGTGAGTTTCTTCTCCCTTTTGGGGTTTTCATCTTCCTTTCATTTCCTTTTTTTTTTCTCTTTTCTTTTCTTTTTTTCTTCTTTTTTTTACAAGTTGCACCTCTCCTCCATACTGACCCCCCGCACAGCAAGACGCGCACTCGCGACATGGGCGGCGATGCCACCACCCACCAGTTCACCAGGGCCATCCTCGACAAGATGGAGGCCCTATAAACCCATAAAACGAGCATCCACGCCGACCAAACCAGGCTTTGTTTCCTCGACGAACCCCGGCCATTCCAGTATATAACCATCCCGCACCCCTTACACAACTTCCATTCCACGCATACCCCGCTACCACGCCTGCAGTAGGCCGGCTCTCCTTTTCTTTTTTCCATTACCTGTTGAAGCAATACACTAGAGGTGGGGGAGGGAAGAGAAAGACAAGCCCCCACCACGAACAAACGACGATGATGACGGGCGGCACAACGACGGCAAAGGAAAACGAAAGTGTTTTCTGCTACTACACAGGACTCGAGAAGCATTCGGCTGCCTAGTTTTCTCTCTCTAGAGTAAAGAAAGATGAACTCATAGAGTGGTGGATCGATGCAGTGAGTTGGCCGCGAGTCGTGGTGTGAAGGAAGAGTCTTTTGGATGGGGATTGTAGTTGTACGGGGATCTGGGTTCCTTTTTGTTTTCTCTCTCTCTCTCTTTTTTTTTCGTTTTCCATCTGTACGTAGCATAGGAGTCATGCAGTGCATCCATGAACTAACATCTTGTTTGTCGTTTTCATCCTCCCCCTTCCAGTGCTGGCATTTGTGGTCACGATGTGCTCTCCGCCTCATGTGTGACACTTTACACAGAACTGTATATCTAGAGGCGGATGTTCCTGCTAGTCAAGACCATGGCCACACGCTGAGGCAGTCAAGTCGAGTCTACACGGGGAGTCTTAACGAATTTATAGCAACAAGGGAAGAGGGGCAAGTTGCACTTATATCACCCTACCTCCAGCAAATTCGAGACGAGGGGGCGTGTGTAAGACTACATTCCAGACAACGGAAAGGGATAACGGAACAGACTCCGTATACTCGCTAGCTTTATAGAATAAAACTGGTAGGCCTCACTGGTCTCGTTGAACATAAGTAAATGGCAAAAAAAGTGAGAGACGGCGCAGCAAAAAGAGAATATCAGAAGCGATTTCCCACACCGAGAATCGAACTCGGGGCTGCGGATTGAGAATCCACCATGTTGACCACTACACCATATGGGATCTAGTTGTTCTTGTTAGATACTGAGCGGAAGGAAGGAAAAGAAGAAGGAAAGCGGGAGATGTTGGGAAGTAGGTGCAAGAGCAGCGTTGTGCGGGAAGGAGTCAGGGGAAGGAGTCAGGGGCGTGACTTCCTGGTTGTGCAACTCCCGAGGCAACGACCTCCTATACCGGGTACCCAAGTACATGTCCGTTGACTTGTATCAGTAAGACGTTAGTGACATGGCTTCACCGGGTGACGGAGATCACAGAGGGTACCTCGATGATTTGTACTGTACCTATAGAGTCCGGTGACTCTAAGTCCCATGTCTGATGAGTACCTGTAATGTCCCTCACAAAGCTTACCCCTGAGCGGTGAGAAACCCAGGACTGTCACTTGACTTCGCCCCTTAAACGTCTTTCAACGCCGACAGGACTTCCCTTGACCTACCTGGTCTTCTTGACCATCATCTGCGCTCGTCCCAGAACCTCCCCAGGTCTCGTCCGAGTCTGGTCCTGCTCATCTCCACCATGTCGGAATACCACCAGTTCAGTTGGACCATCGGGTGACCTCCGGACCCAAACTTCCTCATACCCAGTCGGCTCGAAGCCTAGGTTCAGAAAGCATCGCCTCCCTTGGTCCGTGGCCGTGAGGGCTGAGTAGGATCCGTCGCCGTCAGCATTTCGTCCACCACGTCTTCCGGTCTTCGACGCACTACCAAGTTGCTCTCAAGAGCAGCTCGTCAAGGGCAAGGAGGGGTTCCAACTTTCCTGCTCACCTGAAAGGCCCTCCATTACCACACCCCGTGCCTTAAAAGTCTCGACAATCTCATCAACAGCGCGCCTCACAAATCCACGGACTTGGCGCCCCGCAACGGAATCCCGGTACACCTCGACGTGGAAAACGTGGACACCCAATCTCGCCTCCGAATCGGCCGGGGTCCATAGGTCCCTGCTCGCTATCACCGAGGTCTCCTTGAGTTCACCCATCACCAGTGCGTCCCAGCTCGTTTTCCGCAGGGGTAGAGCGATCACTGCGCCGATTAGAACCCCTTCTCCGTCTGTCTGGTCGGCATCTGAGTATACGGCGAAGGAAAAGTCGGTTCCGGCGACGTCTACCCAGTCTCGCAGGCGCTCGAAGGCCAGGGGCGCCGGGTACATGGCTTGATCGGAGGCGTAGATCTCATGGAGCACAGTTGGTGTGATGGGGCCTCGTTTGACGTACGCGGTCCAGGTTGTGTCGCCCATCGTTCGGGTGCGATAGGGTGAAGCCAGGTGCGTGGGTGTTGGGTCGTGTAAGATAGTTGACGTTGTGAGGAGTGAGGACGGTGAGGTTGGAGGGCTTGGAGAAGGGAAGATGAGGGAAAATACAATTGTGGAGAATAAATTTTGTTTAGCCGTAGCGTCAATGGAACAACAAGCTTGCTTCTTCGAGTTTGTTAGCATGTCAAAAATACACCCCTATCTTACATAGTGAAGAGTCATGACTTATAAGGGTGCAGAAAAGGAAACAGCAGCATACAGTTTTCTAATCACACATAACATACGATCCCGTCGTTTAAGGGTAGCCGACGGTAAGAACAATTTGTTGTTCCTCTTAAGGGGCAGACATATATATCCTGGTCTAAACGGGGGCATTCATCAACTAGCATTCGAGGGTTCAGGGGATTAAACTTACGGCAGGACATCACTCAACCATTGGGATATCACTTCAAAGGTCCCTGGTAGGCCTATGTGCATATAATATTGAACTATAGACTGAGAGTATTAAGATGTACCGAGAAACCATCCACAACCTTCCTCCCCGCTGTGTTCCCTATTCGCCGACTCGAGAAAAACGACCTCTGCTGGCCATTCATGAACGCTCCAAACCCGAGAAGCAGAGCAACACTTGATAAAGTTGTCCCTCCACCAGTGAGCCTCCTCTTCCTCCGAACCCATTTACTCAGACTGCGGGGTTCCCCAAGCCGAAAAGAGGAACAAGCAACAAGATGGGCGTAGTTTCTGATTTTCTCAATCTCATTTTTTTCTTTCGTTTTTTCTTTTCTTATGTTTTGTTGGCGTCGATTGGCCTTTTACTCCCTGAGGCAGTAAATCTGGATGCACATGCCGCCAGGAGGAGTGCAGATGCCGCAGCTCGCGTTGCAGCACACCTGGTCCTTGCAGCAAATGTTCGTGCCGCACCTCTGGCCCGTGGGGAGGTCGCTGCTGGCCACCTGGTAGGACGGGTTGACCAGCGTCTGGACTTCGCTGCGCTGCTCCGCGGGGATGGCGGTGGCGGTGAGGGCTATGGCGGCGAGGAGGGCGAGTTGGCGGAAGGCGACCATTTTGGCAGTTTTTCTTTTGTTGTGATAGAGAGATCGACGCGGGACTTGGTGAGAGTAAGACAACTCAAGGACGAATGAAGAATGGATTGTTTGATGTTTTTGGCTTGGGATGATGTGGTCTTTATAAGAAGTCTTACACTGGGTTGTGCGTGATCAATGCTTCTTGGTCTCATTCTCGTGGAAGACAAAGGGCCTTTTATAATCGAAAGAGACCGCCCCTGACTGTGACCTTTCAAAGACTTATACGGTGAAAGCTCTCCATGCGATGTATCCAAGGGCCCACGACGTTCCGTCCCAAGGGGCCAAGCCGCCAAGATAGTCAACACGTTGATGAACTCATATTACCCACAACCCGAGGTGCGCCGTGCCGCGTGGCTCTTCCCCACCACAGGCTGAACTAATTATATGAAAACTGAAAATGATCATCCTATCGTAGGTCTCCCAGGTATGCCAAGCGGCTGGGAGAATGTGCGTTTGGAACGCCACAACTCGGAACCAGGGGATGGAGGGGGGTTGGGGGGATTACCACTCCTGGTCAGTGGTTACGACCATGCAGTAAGACTGGTGTTGGATTGTTCCGATGCCGGGGGAGGAAAGGGAAGGGAAGGATGTAACTGGTAGGAAGAAGGAGGCCGCTTCCGAGCTCATAATTCGAGGGGAACAGAGACAAAAATGCTCTGCTCGGATCTTCCAGTACATGTATATGTAGGTTCTCTTCTCGCTTAAAAGGCAGAGGTGACGTTTGGATGTTGATCAAGCGGTACTCCGTAAATCCAAATCCGGGGTAAACGGCTCTGATGGTGCTTCGTCACGATTCACGAACCTATGGACAACTCATCGTCACAGCCAAGACTACGGGAGGCTTTCTTGGTTTTCCCTTTCCCATTTACAGTGTATTGTTTGCCGTGGACCGTGGTGGCGCACTGGCGAGTGGCGACAGCTGAGGCGTTCATTAGTTCCCTTGTTGGCCTTTCCATTTCTTTCTGTTAGTCTGTGCCTATTCCTTTCTTTCCCCTCCGAAAACGGCATCGGACGTCCATCGCCGTGTCCACCGTAGCCACTTGGCGTTCTCGCACACGTGCAGGCTGTCAATCTCGTGGAACCTCTGTCGACTGTGATGGAAAGGTGGAGAGGGAGACGGAAGCGGAAGCGGAAGCGGAAGCGTGACAAGTCTGAGATAAGGCTCATGTCATTATCATGTACGGCATCAAGGCCAATTGGCCGGTGAGATGAATGAAAAGGGTTGCGTATGGTAATTTGAGGTCTCGGCTAATATAGGTCGTGATCTACGTTGCCGTCCCTCAGCTGAGTATATGTGTGGTAAAGTACCCATAAATAAACGCCAGGAGCAGAATCCATGGGCCCAGGCCCCAGAATTAACCGTGAGGAGGTTGGTCCACCCCGCTTATATGTTGGGAAAACTGTCCTTGGCTCTGCACGGCGGAAAAAAAAAAGAACGAAATCAAGCCTCCGACACCGCTCGCGATTGACCTGGGCTGGATCTTGATAGCGGTGAGTTTGGGCAGCAGTAGGACGATATCGACGTCCATGTGTAGGAGTCTTGTCTAGTATGGCTCCGGATGCAACGACTAAGGGCAAAAAGAAAAGAAACGGACGGAAAGAAAATTATAAGTAAAATACAAAATGAGCCTGGGAAGCACTGGTTTATACTAATAATTGCCTTGCGAAACGAAGATGGCAGAGATATGGCTCAGAAACATACGTTCGTTGTACGGGGCTCGGACAACTATTCTGTCCGTCAACCACTCACATAACACTATTGTTTTCGTCCAAGAAGCCCTAACGTCTTCGGGCATGGAATACATCAGAAGAGAGACCTGATGGGAGGTCTCAGGCGGCCTGAGGTTGCCCTTGGCAGCATGTCCGGAGGCGTTCCTCCATCTGGGCTCCTGAGCCCAGACATACAACGTACATGATACAACCCCTGACAGCAAAGCCTATAGGTAGACTAACAGCACGTCGTGATACAACAAATATCATTGGTCGTCGCTTAGAGCAAGTGAATAAAACCCCAGGCCCTGCATCCAAATCGAATGCTGTATATTTATTCGGCCGAATGCCCCGCGCAGACATCAATCACCATACAAGCCCCGTGTTCCACAGTCCACCCACACTAGGGCCGGGCCGGTCTAGAGAGAGATCCCCTCTCGGAAGCCGGGACAGCCAAAACCACCTGCGGCCTTCCGCATCGTTGTTTGAATGCGACGGATTGTGTACATGTATGTACCGGTTTGGCCCGGACTTCGGAGCCGAGATAGCCCCACTTTCCGGAACGCCGTCCCCACGTGGTACACGGGATCTCGCGGCAGTTCACGGGAGTACGGGTCAGTTGGAACCGTTTCTCGTCATTTCCTGGGGTAAGTGTGACGGTACGGTGTGACATCATCTGGAGAGGAGAATAAGATAAAGGGATGCGGTTAAGTGGAGGAAATTACAGGATATATTCTTACGTGGTTTACTGTACAGGTACTGCTTCCGCAACTTGTCGATGGAGACATCTCCGCATCGATGATCGGGTAGTCAAACGGTATGACCTGACCTAAGAAGCGGAGACAACCGGGGAATGGCACGGGCATATCAGGTAGGTAAGTCGGGTAAGGAAGAGAGTATCCAGTGAACTGTCGTCCCCTAACTGTTAGAAAGACGTGGATAACAATCATGATTGTCATCTGGGGAAGCTTCTTTGGAGGGGAACCCCATCTTATTCCTTGCGGGATTGACTGTCGGGATCTAGAATAGAAGTAGAAGTGTATGCTGATGCAAATCGGTTGCTGAGGTCGGGAGATTTACAGTCTAGGTGGCAGATGACGATGGAAATCAGACTTGATGGTCGCACACGCGTGCTGGTGTCTCATTTGCCTGGCACTTCGATCTTCGAGCTCGCCGCGACGAAAAGGGCGAGCCGCTGGGCCGCGAGGAGCTCACGGCCGAGGCACTAACCCAGCTCACCGCCGGCTCGGACACGACCTCCAACTCGTCCTGCGCGCTGCGGCACTTCCCGCCCGGGACGACGCTCAGCGTGCCGACCTACAGCGTCCACCACTCGCGGGAGATCTGGGGGCCCGACGCGGACGAGTTCCGACCCGAGAGGTGGGAGGAGGTCACGGAGTGGCAGAAGAACGCGTTGATCCCGTTCAGCTACGGGCCGCGGGCTTGCATCGGGCACAATGTTGCTGATGTGGAGATGGCTTTTGGGTGATTGAGAAAAAGAAAAGTGAAGAAATAAAATTGAAGATGAAAATAAAAAGGAAAAAGAAAAAAATACAACGAACAAGTATAGATAATCACGTGGACTTTTAATCTCGTCCCGGAACGGATACGAGGGGTTGGCGAATCAATACAACGGAGCAGGTACCAGCGACAAGGCGCGTGGCTCAACTCGCGTCTGACGAGAGACCCTGGCACGAAGTACCGATACTTAAGCTTACCGTGCGGTTGTGTACCTGAGCGCTAGATAAGGTTTGCAAGTGACATACAGAGATCCGCAGCATGCCGTAGTATACTTGTAAGGTACTTTTCGGTCATTTCATCCATCTCCCGGATTCTCACAACTCGCCTCGACGCAACTCAACTTCCACTTCATCTCAGCCCTCGAATCCAAACTCCAGAGTAAACCAGTTTGGTCTAAGTACCTTCTTACGTTCCCTTCTTCTTCGACCACTATCGATTTAGTCTATGAACCCGTTTCTTAGTCAAGCAGCTGCTATAACTCTGCAACGGAGATAAGACGAGAGAACCGCCTGTCGACGACTCGTCTGTCACGATCATCTCAAATCATCATATGATGTCCAGTCGACCATTCGGATGGCTACTCGATACACTATAGTCACCAAGCAGGAAACACCAGCTCGTCATCCCAATAAGCGAGCCACAGCCACAGCCACAGCCACAGTCACATTCGTTCGGACGCATCGTCAACCATGGAATCATCATCGCAATCTCGAAAGAATGCCGCTCGCCGTTCTCATCGGAAGGTACGGACGGGTTGCAAGATGTGTAAAACACGGAAGATTAAAGTGAGTTAGTTGGCTGTTGTCTCTTCTCAGCAGCCACAGTCACTGCTGCCGCCACCACCGCCGCCGCCGCCGCCACTACCATCACCACCACCACCACCACCACCACCATCCCCCCCGTCGTCTTAGCTAACCGCCCTTCCAGTGCGACGAGACCATGCCCCAATGCCAAAACTGCGTCCGCTACGGCGCCAAATGCGATATAACCGAGCGCGTCTCCTCCCTCCCCCACCACCGTCAAACCCCCGACGCGTCCGCCCACGACTCGGACTCCGCCTTCTCCTTCAACTCCCCCCCCGCCGCCCCCTCCGGCGGGCCCCATGCCGGCCCCCCGTCCCTCAACATGCTCGACCTCGAGCTCCTCTACCACTGGAGCACCACCACCAGCCGCACCATCACCGAGGACCCGTTCATCCAGGAGTTCTGGCGCTCCAACGCCGTCCAGCTCGCCCTCCGCCGCGACCACGTCATGCGCGGCATCCTCGCCCTCTCCGCCCTCCACCTGGCCCAGCTGTGCCCCTCCCGCGAAGCCGAGTTCTTGCATCGCTCCGTCGTTCACCACGAGGGTGCCGCCCGTCGTGCCATGACGCTGATGCCCCTCGTCGAGTCGACCCAGGACCAGGAGCTCGCCGACAGCCTCTTTGTCTTTTCCGTCCTCACCATGTACTACGGTCAGTCCCCTGTCTCTCCTCTTCTCTCATCTTCTCTCCTTCCCCAACTAAACACCCCAAAAGCCATCGCCAACTCCGAAGACCCCAGCGGCCCCATCCTCCTCGTCGGGACAGGCGACACCGCCCAAGACTGGATGGTCCTCTTCAAAGGCGTAAGCCACCTCGCCACCATCACCAAAGTCGGCCGCGACCCCAACAACATCCTCTACCCCTTCATCAACAACGCCCGCAAGCGCAGCCGCGCCCTGCAGGCCCCGAAGCCTCACCCCTACCTCGACCTCCTCCGCGCCCGCCTCGCCGCCACCCCACTCCACCCCCGCCTGCGCGCCATCTACGACCACACCGTCGACCAGCTCCACAAGCAGTTCTCCGCCTTCTACCTCGCCCCCGCCCCGTCGTCGCCTCCTTCCTCCCCTGCTTTGACCCCCGCCCCGCGCCCGGCCTTGACCGCCACCGCCGACCGCCGCCAGAACGGGGACGGGGGCGGGGGCGGGGTCGGGGTCGGGGGCGGGGGCTCCCTCGACCGCGACATCCTCGACATCTTCATCTGGGTCTCCTCCGTCTCGGACAACTTCATGCCCCTGCTCCGCCACGCCCCGTCCCAGGAGACGCTTGCCATTTTCAGCTACTTTTGCATGCTGCCCAAGCGTCTGCCGCGCCGGTGGTGGTTGAATCGCTGGGCGGACAGTCTGAAGATTCGCACCTACGAACTGCTGGATACCGAGCACCGCACCTGGGTCGTCGAGCCTACGACTTGGGCTGACGCCAATAAGAGGAACAAGGCGAGCCGGTCTGCTGAGAGTGGGATCGCGACTTGAATCTCTTTCGTATAGACGTTTACTTACTCTATCTTTCCATTGTTAGCATGGGTGCACAGGCGCTTTAGACACGACTTTACGGTATGGAAAACAAATCATAATAATCATAATAATAATAGTGATAATAATAATAATAATAATAATAATAATAATAATACTACTAATAATAAACTACAAATTCTATGCAAGTTTCCCTGTCGGGACTCCATCTTACCGGAACTTGATCTATGGGTTCCTACCAATGCCATGCGAACGCCTGGCGCTAATGATCCTCCGAAAACGCCGTTACCAAATACGAACCCCCCCCTCATAACCATTCTTCCCAATCAAGCCCGACCGAAAAGCTTCTTGGCCGTCGTCCTCTTGAACGGCGGGGCGTTATGAGCATCCGCATTGTCCCCTCCATACGGACCATGCCCACTCCCCTGGCTAGCATGTGGTGCGTCATACAAAGGGGATGCTGGTGCAGCTGCAACGTCCTCTGGCCTCAGCTTCTCGGGGCGAGGAGGAGGAGGGGGTGGTGCGTGATGCGGTGCCGGAGCCGTGGAAGTGGCAGTGGCAGTGGCGGGGGCGGGGGCGGCGGCGGGAGTCCAATCTGTCATCCCTGGCACCGCCGCTGACGTCCTCCGGTCTGTTGGTGTAACCCTCGACCCGGCTGTCCTCTGTTCTGTGCTTCTTGATTCCGACCATACTTTCGGGTCTACCGTCTTGGGTTCCGTGGTTGTTGTTGGGGCTTCACGTCCCCTCGTCGTCCTCGTCGCAGTAGTCCTGGCAGCCGCCGCCGCCGCCGCCGCCGGCGTCGTCGGCGCATCCTCATCCGACGTCTCACCACCCCCCCCCCAAGCCTCGTCTTCCACGTACCTCAGCTCCTTGCGCATGGCGAGCGAAGCGCAGATGTCGCGGGCCTCCTCGATGGCTTCCTTCTGGCTCTTCAGGGCCAACCGCCGATCGCGCGTCTCCTTGTTCTCGGCGGCAATGGCCTCGACCGTCTCGTTGGCCAGGCCCATGAAGGCGACCGAGTTGAAGATGCCGTACATGCCCTGCAGCAGGTGGCGCTCGACCACCTGGGTGATGGTGTTGCGGATGAAGGTCTTGGCGGCGAGCTCGTAGAAGATGAGCATCTTCTCCAGCACCTCCTCGGCCTCGGAGAAGGTGGCGCCGTCCCGGGTGGCCTCGGCGTGCCACTTGCGCAGGCGCTCCTCGTACTCCGGGTCGTAGGGCTGGATCTCCAGGTGCATGTCCTGGGTGAGGCGCTCGAGCTCGTCCTGGGCGCTGGCCATGAGGGCCCTCATCTGCGGGTCGAGGAAGTGGGTGCGGAGCGGCTCGCGCATGCGCTGCGGCCAGGCGAAGTCGATGACCTCGGCCAAAAACTCGTTGCACACGACGCCCAGGTTGTCCTTGTGCTCCTGGGCCAGCTTCGGCCAGTTCTCCGAGTAGCTCTGGAACAACATGTAGACGGCGCGGGGCTTGGGATCCGTGGGGAATTCGGAACCGCGGATCTGGCGTAGCAGCATCTCGACCTCGTGGGCGACGAAACCCTTCTTGCCTCCGTCGGCCCCCTGGCCCGCCGGCGGCAGGTTCAGGGTGCTGGCCGAGGCAGAGGCAGAGGCAGAGGCAGAGGCGCGAGGGTCGGTGGCGGACGAAAAGCCAAACTTGCGACCGTTCTGGCGAATGCGGTGGGAAAACTTCTCGTTCTCCTCGATGGCGCGGGCTCGGAGGTTCTGGGCGGGCGTACCACGAGGGTCGGCGGTGGCGCGGAAGAAGTTCTTGCCGGGCGGGTTCTTGTAGAAACCGTAGACGGCGGGGATGACGAGCTCCTTGGAGGCCGAGGACAGCTCGACGAGCTCGATACGCATCTCCTCGATAGTGTCCTTGCCCGTGCCCATGGACTTGAGCTCGGCGTCGCAGTCGTCGAGGGCCTTTTGGATCTGCTTCCGCAGGGTCTTGACGTGCCGGCCGATGTGGCGCTGGAGCTGGACGCTGAGGGTCTGCTTCAGGGCGGCGGCGCCGCACATGGACTCGGGGAGAGCGCGCCACTTGCCACGGCCGAAGAAGTCTTCCTCGCGCTGCCTGCGTTCGCGAGGCGACGGCCAGGGCTGGCCCTGATCGCGTGGGCCCGGGTTCAGCAGCACGTACCAACCGAGCTTGAAGTAGTTTGATTTGTCCCGGTTCTGAACGAGGTCGATGAACTTGTCTTCGAGCCCGATGGACTCGGTCAGGTCGGGTTTGGTCAAGACGCCGATGGTGCGGGAACCAGACGGGTCGAAATGGCGAGCCTTGCCGAGAATCGGGGCCTGGACATAGTCGCTGTTTCCTCCGACGACGGCGAGGATGATGGTACGCGAGCTCTTCATGTAGCGGTCGCAGAGGGTCTCGATGGTCCTGATGTCGTCCAGGGATTGGTCGTTGTTCGCGTTCTTGACCAGCCCGGGCAGGTCAACAAGGGTCAGCAGGGGCATGTCCGGGCCACGCTTCTCGACAACCAGGATATCTCGCGCGGCAAAGCGACCGGGGATGTTCTTGGGGGCGATCAAGTCGGAGGCGGTCCGCATGAGGGTATCGAAGGACATGCCAACGTCAACAGTGCCGCCGAACTGCTTTAGGCGTTCCTGCTCGCGGAGGTCACGGTTTCTGTCGGGGATGATGGTGACCTTCAAGGACGGCTCGTTGGATCTCCGCAGCCTAATCTCGGTGGCGAACCTGGTACAGGCGCCGGCATCGCGGGGGAAGGGAGTGCCGGTGATGGCTTCGAGGACGGAACTCTTGCCGGCAGACTGGTCTCCGACGACGACGATCTGGGGTAGTTTCACGTTGTCGAGCTGAGCAAACTGCAGCTTGTCGATGAGTTCGAGCAGGCCCCTCTGCTCGTTGGCCATGTCGGCCGAGCCGAGGGCGGAATCGAGATTTTGTGACACCATATCTGGGCTGTTGGCTGTTGTTGGGGAGTGTCAGTGATGAAGATTGAACCCTTAGGCTCAAGGCCTGGCTGTTGCTTTTCTTTTCTTCTTTTCCCCTTGTTCTGCCGGAATTTCGTCGAAGTGGGAAGGCGATAAGGGAGTGAAGAGGATCAAGGTTTTGGCTGAACACAGGGAGCACAAAGAGGCAGGAGGTACTAGTTTATAAAGGCTTCCTGCCTTCTGTAGGAAAGGAAAGAAGAAAAAAAAAATCGGTGCCTAAGTGGTCGGAGTAGGTTAGACGGAAGGTGGAAGGCACAAATCGTCGCAAGGGGGCGTCGTCAGCTTTCCTCTTAAGCCTTCTCCTTAAGATCACAGCCACATCAAGCTGTGGCACAGTGGGCGAGGCGTGGAACTGCACAGCCACAATACAATAGTCATCGGGTTAAGAATCGAACGTCCGTCCCAGGCAACCGGTTAGGGAGGGAGACGGAGGGAGATGACGATGGACCGCGCGGCCGCCTAGCACTTGGCATTTGCTGTAGCTAGACCCTTCTTGGAGTCAAAAGAGAGCGGCATCCGAGTCGTCGAATAAAATGAGCGGACCGGCCATGTTGCCACCCGTGGGGGGGCTGGGGAGGTCTGAATGATGTGGACGTAACGAAAGAGGGGAAAAGGGAAAGAAGGAGAGGAGTCGAGAGTCAAGGCCAGACGTCACCATAAAGAGGGAACCAAGCTAGTGTGCGTGACTAAGCGGGATGTGGCAAATGCTATTGTGGCTGTGTTACGTCTTGTGGCTCGGGTACACGGCCTAATAAACATTAGTCACCAGAGAGCGGGAAGAGAGCAGGTGTATACATGGTGTATCGGCTTGAAAAGGCACTGCCTTGTGCAGTTTTATTCGTCAATACGTATACATACGTTCGACTTGTGCTATAGAGCCTACATCGCCCTCGCATTCCACACACCGACAACCCACGAATCCACTCGGACCACCAGATTGAAGGCTCTCGGCATCAGCTGTGCCAAGCCATGGTGGGCGTACAACTGACATGGCATGGCGCTGAAATTGTCTTGTCCATCCTCGTTACGAACGGAGGCGCCAGGCAGTTCATCTCAGCTCTATCGTCGTCATGTACAACGAGAAATATTTGATAATGAACCGTAAGGCACCGACATGTACCCATCGAGCACATAGTCGTCTTGGGAATGTAATGTGAGGCTGCCCTGACTCGGCCTCGATGTAGGCAAGTCGGCCCTCTTGAAATGACCCAATCATAAGAGAAGCCGACGGTGCCACAAATGAAGGGTTAACCTAATGATGAGGCAAGCCATGGGCAGACCTGTTCCTCCAGGGTCCTGCTGCACGGCCTATGAGCCCAACGTCGCATGCATGCTAAATTACGCAGATAGTAGTACCTGAAAGCGATGCTTTGCTTCACGCTGGCTCGGTCAGACCAGTACTTTGGCTGGTAAAAATGTTCTGGTCCCTGGGATAACAGTTTTCCGTTAGCAGCTTGCCAACACATGACGTGCACAAGAAAAGAGAAGAAAAAAAAAAGAAACCAGCTGGGAATATCAGAGTAACTATGAACTTGGGATCATTCAAGTATTTGCTTGTCAAATACAATCTAGCGTTAAAGGATTTCATCATATGAGGCTGGTAAAAGAAAGGTGAAAAGAAAAGAATCTAAGAAAAAGAAGAAAAAAATCACATACCGAATTTCGGATCTTGGTGCCCTGATGGCGCTAGACCGGTCAGATCGACCCCTGGGCATAAAAATACTTTTTTTCCCGAGTTGTTTCACGTCAAATCGTTCGAGCAACGCAATAAACTAAGCTGGGTGAGCAGAGAACGGCAAGCAAAAGGCAACGACCACACATACCAGTTCAAACCTCCTTCACCTATCCCATGACGCGTTTCCCGCTCTCTGCAAGCCTACTGTCTTGAACACCTCCCCAATGGCGCCAAGGACATTGTCGACGATGGCCTTGACCATCCCCTGCCTCCTGTTCTTGCCGTCAGGGCCTATGCGAGGACCTTCCGTTCCCATGGTAGGCAACACATTGTCGTTGGCCGACAAGCTGACGAAGAGCGCGAACGGCACCAGCCACACGCAGATTCCGAAATACGAAGCAATTTGGGCGAAGGAGGGGATGTCGGGCTGGTCATAAATCGATCGCATGTTGGCGAGGGATCTTGCTTGCGCTTCGGAAAAGTGCCGGAACCAAAAGTAGTGGTTTACCAGGACGAGGACTGTAAATCGAATTAGCACGAATATTGGAAGCCGGATGGTCAGACAACTGTAACGAGGAGAGCCCCCGGATTGAGCTGCCGGGGGGTTGGTCAGAACATAACATACCACAAGAGGCGAGGAACAGAGGATCCGCTAATTGGACAAAAGGGAACCTCCGCATGTTTCCCAGGTAAATAACATGAGAGAAGATCGACAGCAGGGTCAATTTGAAAGGGAACCCGTCAACGATCCATAGTAGAAGCTGCAGGACGATGACGAAGTAGATCAGACGCGTCAAGAGTCGCTTCGCGATCACGGTGTGTTCCTCGACCAGCTCAGAAAGATAGTAAAGACCAGAAGCTGCACGCAAAAAAAAAATTAGCCGACATTGCCTTCAAGACTTGACAAGCTTTGCTGCCGAGGGGGAGGAAGAATCGGAGCAAGCAAGAACCGGATGCACCGTACCAATAGCTAGGGTCAGAAAGCAGAAGCCCACAATCGACCCTACGATCCCGAGGAGAGGAACAATCCACATTGTGTTGAATTCAGACCTCACACATTCTAAAGTGGTTCTAGGCGGACAGAGAGACAGGTGGTGGTGCTTCGAACGCCACCGACGACAGTGGTGAAGGGAGGGAGAGGAAAGGGGAAGGAAAAGAAAGATTCCAAGCGTGTCCTTTGATGCCGTCCGCGACCTGACCTGGCCCGTGCTTCGGAGCTTTTATTATCCGGTGCGAGTCTCCCGTAGTCAGATCTACCAATGAAACTCGGAGTTTGGATACGTACCCGAACCCCCCACCAATTGCTTATCGGAAGCATCCACATCGAAATTCTGCTAGAATTTTGACCTCCAGCGTCTCAATGAGAGTGCGTCAACCCAGGACGTCTCACGACACTCTCCTCTAACATAGTACGGACCAAAATCTTTGCCATTTGATTTCTTTTTTTTTTTTTTGTTATTTTTTTTTTCTGTTATAACAGCCATCATGTCGCGCCCCGAAGATACCCTGTGAGCATTTCCTACCCTTCACATCCTCACCCCTCGTCCTCCCATCCTCGCACCCGCCAACCCTCCCAACCCAACCCTGAACATCCCAAACTAACACCCCCCCAGCGCGGCAGACATCCACTACAATGACTCCGAAGCCCGCAAATACACCACCTCCTCCCGCATCCAAAACATCCAAGCCTCCATGACCCGCCGCGCCCTCGAAATCCTCGACCTCAAATCCCCCTCCCTCATCCTCGACGTAGGCTGCGGCAGCGGCCTCTCCGGCGAGATCCTCACCGCCGAGCGCCCCGAAGACGGCGGCCCCCACACCTGGATCGGCATGGACGTGTCCCCCTCCATGCTCGACGTCGCCCTCCAGCGCGACGTCCAAGGCGACCTCCTCCTCGCCGACATGGGCCAAGGCGTCCCCTTCCGCCCGGGCGCCTTCGACGCCGCCATCAGCATCTCCGCCGTCCAGTGGCTCTGCAACGCCGAGGCCAGCGACACCTCCCCCGCCGGCCGCCTCGCCCGCTTCTTCGACGGCCTCTACGCCTCCCTCCGCCGCGGCGCCCGCGCCGTCTGCCAGTTCTACCCCAAGAACGACCAGCAGAAAACCATGATCACCCGGGCCGCCGTCCGCGCTGGCTTTGGCGCCGGCCTCCTCGAGGATGACCCCAATACCAAGAACGTCAAGCTCTACCTCGTCCTCACGGTGGGCGGGTCCGCCGGGGACGGCCGCGGCGGGGACATCACCGGCGTCGTCGACGGGATGGACAACGTCGACGTGTTGGATTCGAGGCCGAAAGCCGCCGACGACAAGTCCGGGAAGGGCGCCATCAAGAAGGGGAGCAAGGCTTGGATCGTTCACAAGAAGGAGCAGATGGAGAGGAAGGGAAAGGTGGTCAAGACTACTTCCAAGTACACGGGGCGCAAACGTCGGGTGGCCTTTTGATGGGGCTCTCGGCTCTTCAGCCTTTTCTTTCTTTGGGTCTGGCGTTGCATGGCGGGGGAGGGGAGGTTAGGAGTTTGTCCTCATGTTTCTGTTCAAGGAGGTTTTGCAGTATTGCAATGTGGGATACCCATGATATTTTTTACCTACGGTCCGACGACACTTTCGTCTCTCGGCCACTTCCGTGTCACACAAGATCCATCCTCACCACATTCACACCCACAGCCCGCAAATTAGGAGGCGTAAGCAAATCCTCCATAGCCACAAGTTCCCTCTTCTCACACTCCCCCTTCGTTAGTCCCCTCACCCTATCTATCCTCGGGTCCTCCCCTTCCCCGTTCCAAACGCCCTTCCCATGTACGAATATCGGCGTTGCCTGCTCTTCAGAGTCTTCACAGTCCATCACGATCCTCATGCCCTCTGGTAACGGGCCCAGGAGAGCCTCCCCCGTCATGAGCCCTTCAACGTAGCAATCCCCAACAACAACAACAGCTTCACCCGCTTCTCCGGCCGTCGCACTGCGCGACGAACGAACCTGACGCAACACAAGCGGCACATCGCACCCGAGGAGCACCACAATCCTATCCCCCGGCCGGGTCTCCCTAGGTCCGAGCCCAATATACCCTTCCTCGGTCGTTAGGACCGCTCGCCCCCTGCAGCTGGCCAAGAGATGCGTGGCGAACCCAAGCGTGACGGAATCATACGAGTCGCTCCCCCTCGCCGACTCGCCCTCGCCCTCCCGTTGCCCCTCTTCCCTGGGCACCGTCGTCAGAACCGTCTTGAGGGCATCCACGCTCGCTTCCAAGTCGGGGTACGCCTCCACGGCCGGGTGGTAGGACGATGCGAAGAGTCCCCAGGCCAGGACGGCGCAGTACGCTTCAAGCAACGTCGTCGTCGACGCATCGTGTTCTTGTTCCGGGTGTTGTCGTCTCGGGCGGTAGCGGGCGGTGAGCACATCGGTCGGCGCACACCGTCGTACGGCGGCAACGACGTCCGGGAGGGGGACGAGATCCGCGAAAAGCAGCCGCGCCGACTTGACCGTCGCGCATCGTATTCCTGCTGCGCGTAGGATCCCCCCACAGTCGCTGTCTGGGATAAACTCCACGTGGGCCCCCGACAACCCGCTGGCCAGATGCATCGGCATGCGGTTCGCAGCCCGCTTGACGCACCAGTCCGGTACCCAAGAAGGCAGCCTTTCATCGAGCGCCGCTGTGTCGGTTGCGTTACTGGCAGTAGTCGCACTAGTACTACTACTGGTCACCATCTCGCATGAAGCCAAAATATTCGCATCCCCCGCGTGGGCGATGTACCGGAGCACCGCATCTCGGTACACCTGCGCCTTGGAGACCGTGTAGTCCGGCAGCAAGCCCATCAAATCGGCATCCACGTCCGACGCCATCCCCAGCGCAGCATGGACTCGCTCCCGCGGGTCCTCGCAGCTAAACTTGCGTCCCTGGTCCAGCAACTCGGCAAACGTGTAATCGCCCGTGTTCCCGCCATCGCCGCGACTCCCTTGACACAAGAATAAAAGCAACATCTCGAACCTCCGCGCGAACCGCAGCTCGGGCTGGCTATCGGCAGACCGATCAAGGTAATGCCGCCGCTTATTCGCAACACAGGCGAACGCATTGCGTAGGAGATCCCAACTCGCGACCTTGTTTCCGCACACCACAACGACCGTGGCAGCCGGGTCCGCCGCAGCAGCAGCAGCGGCGATGTGCAGACGAGACCACAAGCGGCCAAACCAAGGCCGATGGACCAGGTGATAGATCGACCACAGGTCGTCCTGGTCGTAAGGGAGGGGCACAGCCGGGTCAGCCCAGGAATGCGAATGCCCCCCCACGGCCGCCGCTGCGGGGGAAGGGCGCATGCGGGCATGGTTCTCGAAATCGAACTCGACCATCCAGCCCAGGTCCTCGAGGAGCGACAGCGCCGCCGTGCTGTCGTCGGCCTCCTGGCCCAACCACACGACCACCCGCGCCGCAGACGCGTACACGTCCCGCATCATGGCGACATGCTGGGCTTTCTCTGCGAGGTTGTGCTGGTCTATGCAGATGTAATCAACCCAGAGGTTGCGCGGTCTGTCCTTATGGCGGAGGTAGCGCAGCATTGTGCCGAGGTACTGCGGGAGCCAGAGCCTGCGACTGCTGGAGCCGATCTTGACGCAGTCGGACTTGTTGTTGTTGGACATGCTGGGCACCCATCCGTGCGAAACGGCCTCGTAGGGGAGGTGGCTAGGAATCGGATCGTCGAGCGACACGGTGTGGATTTCACCCCTCAAGTCGTCGAGGAAGCTCCCTGGCACAAGGGTGAGGATGCGTGTTTCCTTGCGGCGTTCTGGGTCGATGCTGGCGGCCGAGTGCTTATATGGACGCTTGTCTCTGTGTTTCTTGACCACGTGGGCGAAGCCGATAGCTGACCAGAAAATGACCGCCGCCATGTCGGAGTGATAGATAGAATGATAGATCAGAGACCAGCAAGACAACCAGAGATTGCCAGGTGATGGCTGAAGCGACAGTTTACGGCGTTCTTTTCTTTTCGTCAACCGTCACAATCTCGCGAATTCGGCAACAAGAGAAGCTGACCTTTGCAGAAATACAATTGTATCGGTCGTTACGTGTAAAAGAGCCTGGGACTCGGGAGCTTCTATGATTGCGATTCGATCCTCTTAGCCTATCAGGCATGCGACGCAAGTGAGGGGAGGCGCAGCAGCAAAGTCTCACGTGCTGCGTGCAGTTGGAGTCGGAGCAGAAAGGCCAGAACGACATTTGGTGACCGTCGGACGAATAAAAAGAAGCCGGAAAGCCGTGAGTCGAGAGTCGTGACGTTGCCGGATTCGCCTGATTCGCCTCTTTTCTTGGCGCTTTGGCGATATGATGCGATGGCCAGAGTCGCCAGACGGACCATAGATCATAGACAGACCATAATTACCTTAGAGTCTTAGACCTTAGACCCTGCCTCTCTTATCTGTCCATGTTCATTCCGCTCTCCCCCCTTTTCCCGACCTGAATGTATTTATTCATTTATTCTTTATCGCCCAAGGAGAAAGAACCCAGACCCGGGAATTGTTGAAAACTGCATCAGTGTCTCTGAAGTCGGCAGAGGTTGAGGCTTTGGTCCGTCCTCAAGAGTCAAGACATTATATTCATCCACTCCCCCAAGTCCTCTCCATCACGTCGCTCGCGGCTCGCCTACTGAGACCCTGGCGCAGTATTCGCAACCCTAAAGAAAATGGTTTAGATGTAAGCATACCCTCATACATGTAAACAGTAACATAGGGGGACTTGTAGGGGGACTTGAAAGCAAACTCACATCAACAAGTGCACCCTGTGCAAGCTCGATCCTATCTCCGACACCACCGGGTGATTCCGACCAAGCGCCTTCTCGAACCCTTCTCGTGCTTGTCGATACATCATCTCGGCCTCCCGCAATCGACCTTGTTCCTCGTAGACGGCGCCCAAGTTGTTTACGGTACTCAGATTCATGATATGATCTGGCCCGATCACCTTATCAAAGCCTTCCCGTGCATCTTGGAGCATTCTCTCCGCCTCCCCTAACCGGCCTTGCTTCTTGTACAGGGCACCCAGGTTGTTCGTAAGATTGAGACGGATTATATGATCCGGACCGACCACCTTCCGAAGCCCTTCTTGCACCCGTCGGAACATCATCTCGGCCTCCTCTAACCGACCTTGCTTCTCGTAGACGACGGCCAAGTTGGTCGTAGCATTGAGACTCGTTGTATCACCTGCGCCGTACACCTCCTCAACGCCTTCTTGCACCTGTCGGAATATCCTCTCGGCTTCCCCTAGCCGACCCTGCTTCTCGTAGACGAGACCCAGCTCATTCATGGCGCTCAAAGTCGCCATGTGGTCCGGTCCAAACATCTTCTTCTTGCTGTCCAGCGCTAGTCGCGTTATTCGCTCGGCCTCTTCCAGCCGACCATGAGCACCGTAGAGGAAACCTAACCGACTGACCGATTCTGCCTGAATGGGGAGGAGGGGGAAATCGTCTTCACCGCCAGAAACCTCGGCCAGCCACCGCGAGCACCTCTCTGCATGCGGAAGAAGCTGATTCCGGAGGACCCCGAAATCTTTATCCCTATTGGACCCCTTGGTAGGTACCGACAGCCCAACTACCAGCACCGCCAGCATGGCAAACGCTCTCTTCTGGGCCTCGTCTTGCCGGTGCGACATCCACTTGTGCACTACCGGATGAATCGAGTACATACCCTCGTCGCCCTTGTCGCTCGTGTCGCCCTTGTCGCCCTCGTGCGCCTCGTCGGCCTCTATCATCGAATAGCGCAGCAGCAGCCTGGTCGCCGCCAAGAACTTTAACTCGTCGCACGCCATATCGCGAAGCCATCCGGGACAGCCGTCTTCGGCTTCTTCGCCGGCCGCCTGTAACAGACCGTGCCAAAGGCCGTTGTTGTTGAGAAAGCCCAGAGGCAGAGCAGGTTCGCCGCGTCCTTGTTTTTCGTCTCGATCGCCTTGAACGATATTGTCCATGTGGTCCAGACGCTCCTCTGCTGGTAGTCCATCAGCGGCGCGGACTCGTCGTCGGACTGCATCAGTTCCTTGAAGCGCTCGTTGTACCGCCGAACATACGACGCGGCGTCGCTCCGCGTCTCTCCAAGGTACGAGGCAGCCTGCGCCAGCGCCAGCGGAAGACCGTCCAGCAAGTCAAGCAGCTCCTCGACATTGTCATCCATAGCTATACAAGAAAAAAAGGCAGTCAGTTTCCAAGGTCTCGGGCTGTCATCACCAAGCTAGATTCTAGACGTGATAGTCTATAGAATGCTAGCGGTGCTAGCCCAGGCTGCCCCAGGCGCCGCCTACGGTGACCTACCCATCCTTTCGTCAGTCCACCTAGCCCACTTCTTGAACACGGACTTGCTAAGGTCTTTGTCGACCTTCTTGAGTTCTTTCGCCGTGCCGAGCTGTGCTAGCTTCTCCAACCGCGTGGTAATCAACACCGACCCCTGGTCGCCGGGGATGTACTTCCGAACATCGTATGCACCGGTCGCCACGGCTTCCTCCGAGCTGGGATCCTGGTCGACGTTATCGAAGACGAGTAGCCAGTCCCTATTCTCCTCCAGAGCAAGCCAGTTCAGCGTCTCCTTCGCGGCAGCCCTGATATCTTCCTTGTCAACGAGGTTGCTGATGTTCCTGGTCCTGCTTCTGTCTGCGATTTGGCCCGCCGGAATCCTGCTCGCACATTTAGCAAGGCTCTGGATGACTCGTTCTTCCGACCTGCCGTCTAGCCAGAAGACTGAGCTAAAAGTGGGTTTGTGGCGCCGAGCAAAGTCGACAGCCAGCTGCGTCTTTCCCATGCCGCCGAGCCCATGGAGGACAAATACCTTGCAACGACCATCTTCTTCGGAGACCGACTGTTGCGGGAGGAGGTGGTGTTCGAGCTCGGCGGTGTCCAACGGCCTGGCAACGAACTTGCCCGAGACAGGCACCCCCTCCAGCGTAAACGAAGTCCGATAGGGGCCAAATTCTAGCATCTACCCGTCAGCAGGACTGTCAGGGAATCGGACACATTGAGGGGAATCGTAAATTACAGCTTCAGGCAGAGAAACGACAAAAACTAACATTTCTTTCTAGCAAGGCCGCTTGCGCACTCCTTCATCGTCTCCAGCACCTCCGCCGATAGAATATACTTGCGGGTTGCCTCTGCAATCTCAGCCTTCTTCTTTGATTCTTCCAGCCCGATGTCCTGGAGCCCCTGGTTGACATTGAAGCGATAATATCGTCCCTGCTTATGGAGACTGGACTTGTCGCGGCGGAAGTTCTCGGCGGTTTTTTCTGTCTCCGTACCAAGCTTCTGCAGAGTGGCGAAGATTCCCTTCAGGCTATCACCCACCCGGTTGAGGGGCGGCACTCCTGTGCCTATCGAGACCAGGGACGTAAGCTTGCTTTGCAGCTGAGCCTCCGGATTCTCCCCGGGCTCAGTGGCCCCCCATACGCCCCTGGCCTGGTCCCATAACTCATAGATGGGGTTATTCGCTCCTAGGGCTCCCTCAACGAATACCTCGTCGTAGGGCCCGAAAGCGATAGGCTCGAAGAAGGACGTGGCAGCCGATGTCGCACGACAGGCTTGCCAAATCGTGGTCGATTCCAGGTCGTCGGTGCCATGAGATCGGTAGCTCTTGAGACATACGGTGCTGCCAGCGTTTTTACTCGTCGCGCAGACAAATCTAGTCGGCAGGGAAACAAACAACCAGGGTCAGCGGGGGGC